CAACGACAACGACAACGGCAACGACGGCAACGGCAACGGCAACGACAACGACAACGACAACGACAACGGCAACGACGGCAACGGCAACGACAACGACAACGGTAACGGCAACGGCAACGGCAACGACAACGACAACGGCAACGGCAACGACAACGACAACGACAACGACAACGACAGCAACAACAACATTAGCAAAGTTTGCAATAACTTTCTGATGGTGAAATCTAAAGTAGGGTACATACTTGATTCAAGTGAGAAGTTCTGTTCCTTAAGCTGTTCAAGTTGTTGTTGAAGCTGGTTAAAACGTTCGTTCGGATCTCTGCAACAAGAAAAAATAACGTAGTAATGTCGGTCAAGGATGGTTGTATACGATTACTCGAATGTCTTTACACTGTAGAGATCTTATCAATGTTGTATAATTACGTAATATGCTTTATTGTGCAACATTACACTGTATTGTTCAATACCGTACTTTATAATATTGTACTGCACAATATTTCATTGTATATATTGCATTATATTGCAATTTACTGTACTGTGCTGTAAATGTAATGTATGGTTCTATAATGCAATGCACTGAACTTTATTTCGTCCTTCATTGCAGTGCTACTGCATTAATGAGTCAGTAATAATGTTTATTATTTAATCAAAAAATATTAATAATTATTTTTAATGTTTATTTTTTATTCATGGTTTCTGACTGGCTAACAGCCAACTGTGAAATCGTCACATCAACTCAATAGCTGATTGAAGTTATATAATATTCAACAGAGTGACGTCGATACTTTGACACATGAAAAAAGAATATTCAACACTATGACGTCATGCCACTGACGACTGTCGAAGGTATGAGAAATTGTGTCACAACAGAAATGACTTCCTACAAACCGGCCACGCGGTTTCATCTTTTAAATATATAATAAAACAATTATTGAATTTGGTTTTCGTATGATATGAAGAATTATCAAGGCCTCAGTTTGTGATAATACTTTATTCAAATAATCCTAGCAAATTACAGTTGTATTTGAAATGGTGGACCTTGCGGTTATCCCTATATTCATGTTATCCCTATATATTGATTACTGGCCCAATCGAAGTCGCTTAGATTAAAGTCACCCCAACTATTATCAAATCTGAAGACATGATATTCCTAATGTTTGCAACTCTTATAGAGGTTCAAGGTCGCTGTTTGATGGTCTCTAGAATACTCTTGATCGTCAGCTTTCTACTATCATTATTTACTACATCAAAACAGAGCAACTCTGATTTGCAATTCAAATATTCTCTTATCGAAGCAACAATAGTATTTCCAACAGCAATCAACACACTTCCGCCTAGTTTTGCCGCCCTTCCCAGATGATCTTCCCAGATGATGAACTCTATACTCAGTGCCAAAGATCTCTACGTTCAATATTGAATAATTTAAATGGCTTTCATTATAAGTACTAATAATATCTTTGTCACTTTATTTACAATACTCCTCGCATTTGAATAAAACACTGCACATCTTAGATATCGGGACTCGATTTCTACTCTTTCTACCTTCGTCGTTGTTATAACAATCATTTGGTCCAGGATTCGGATGTATATATCTCCACAAGACAGTAGCTCAAGTTGAAAATAAGCATCGTGATTGCTGTAATATTTTATTCTTCTCTTACAAAACCGTCTGTTAACTCGACCATAACCATATGACGAATATTTGTTTTTAATGCACTCAGCAATAAATTTATATTTGACGGATTTTTCATTTTTTTTAAAAAACCCACTTTGACTCCAAAACATTTCTCAGCTTTCCAACACTTTCCACACACCATCAAGGCAAAATATACGAAGCAACGAACACAATACGTCCGCCATAGTTAATCTGACCCAAGTGTTTGTGTTTTCAATTTGATAATTCGGTTTGATAATTCTTTATCTCATGCTCAACCTCATTCAATAATTGTTGAATATTTCTATGCATGCATGGTATTGAACAAAAATGATTTCTAATTCTCTGCTGTACAAACCCAGATTGGCTGCTATCATCACTTTTGTTATTTAACTGTCTTCTTAGGATTTGGTTTTCTGTTTCAAGTGTTGAATGATGCTCTCTCAACAATGACAACTACATTCCAAAAAAAATAAAACAAATATAAACCATGCTCGTCTATCATGCGTTACTCTTTTGCGTCTGCATGAGATTATATAATCTTTACTCTGATTAAGTCCTCGGATAAGAAACAGATATAATTACTACTGTAATTAATAATTAAGTATATATGTTCAAACCTGCTCATCAAGTTCATGACATCTTTGCGAGATTTCTTCTTTTTGAGACAAAACTGAACTCAGTTGGTCAAGAGTTGATTTATGCTAAGGAGAACATAATCAAATATTATAATTGCTTCTAACAATTTCTATGCAGCATTTCACATTGAATTGGAAAATAAAGCCTGGATCCAGTGGATCGAAGCCAGGAAGGTCTTAGCTAGAATTTTAAATATGGGCAATGTTTCCAAATTTCCAGAGTGTGCCCATGTCAATAGGCAATTCCAGCTTTTAGTTTATGTGTGCAGGGGACGATGGGAAGTAAGGTATCACATTGCTGATTATGCTGAAAAAATAAAAATGGTGGCCGTGTAAACACGGAGTGATAGCTTATACTTGTAAATATTGAAATATTTCGGTTGTCTTGGTAGTTTTTATTGAAATTTTTCAGCATAATCGGCAATATGATACCTTACTTCCCATCATCCCCTGCAGGCATAAACTAAAAGCTGGAATCGCCTATTACCCAGAATAGGTAGCTGAAAACACCGTTTCAGTTATGCACGCCAACAATATGTAGACTGTGGCTGTTCCATGCTTTACAACCAAATACAAGGCGAGAGCATGCACGTTCGTATTTCGCACTGACATAGCAACTATTGGGGAACTACCCATATATGGGCATCAAAACATAAAAAATATCACGGATCACTTTTACCAACTTCAACAAACTAGATTTTACGAACTTTCGACATGAATGTAGTACACTATTTTATAAACCTACTTTAACACACTATTTTATATACCTACACAGTTTTACCTAAATAATGAAGCCGTGTTCGTGTTATCTTGCCGTGTTCTTCTGACCCTGATCGGACTTAACGGTTGCGCGGTTAGTTAGAATTGGCTTTAAATAAAACTTTCTGGACTGGATCAGAATATACTTAATCAAGCTTAAGGTATCATCATTTCACCAAAACAAATATTAAAACATGCTTAGCTAATTTTCACCATGAATTATTGAATATAAGATCACCATTTCTGACATACAGTACAGTGTATTGGGTCATTTCATTTAATATAAGCACACACGCCCCTCCGTTATTGAGGGGTTCCTTCATAATCTAGTTTGGGATATAAAAAATTTGGAATCCCCTTTGATGCAACTTTTAGACGTTACCTCATACGAATGATAAGATATCTTACTAACCCCTTTACAATATTATTTTCCCTCTTGGATATCACTAAAACACCACATTGTTGTGACGTCACTTTTCTTGAAAATCTCATAAGCTACCTCCCAGGAAAATTTGAGATGAAAACCTCCTCCTTCCCCTACTCCATCCATTATTACATGCATATATTAAATGGAATGGCTTGTTATTGCGTTCGCGACCGCTATACAGTCGCGCTAACTATGCGACATCATTCAGTGCATGGAATAGTACAAACCTGTACTTCGAGATCTTTAAATGTATCATTATCAACAGGACTTGAAACATCTTTACATGCCATCAACTACACAAACAGCAAATGTTAATATCAATTTTCTTTATATTTAAAACACGTGACGAGAAGACGTTATACCTCTTGTATTGCATTCATCACAACGTGTTGAACCGATTCCTCCATTTGCATGATGTTTTGTATATATTCTAATGGAAAATATTCAGTGATCAGTTAATACATGGCTTGATATCTTAATTTAATCTTTCTACCCAATACACCCTTCCAGAAGGTACGTTGCTTTGGCTATAGAACCTCGTTTTCGTGCATGTGACATTAGGGACCTTTAGACGACGACGGCCAAAACAAACTCGTTCAAATAAGTAACTTTAAGATCAACATGTCTTGTATTATCCGTTGTATGAATTATTGCAATTTAAGAAGGTTAAGACAGAGGTTTTTAGTTGAGAAGATTTCTACTAAGCCAATTTGGCGAGGACGACTTCTCGCGGCTTGAAAGGCAGACATTGTGCACAAAGCGTGAAAATCTTTGGTTTGCTGTTGTAAACAGAGCAAGGACGACGTCTAAAACTCCCAAGGGATCTCTAATTATGCATTTTCTTTTTACACTGTCATAAATTTCATTGTATTAATAGCCGTCGCCGTCCTGCTAGCTAAAGGTCCCTATTAGTTAAAGCCCAACGTCGCATTCACGAAAAGGAAGCCCTATATAGCCATGCTAGGTGACGCATTTTGTAGTAATTGTAATGAAGGGCAAATTGGATAAGTTGTACAGTCATAATTCATTTAATACACTGATACATATGTACACTACATGCATACGTCACGTCGTTGACTTTGGCCCGTTCTGAGCCCTAAATTTCCATTGGGGTCGTGAACTAGATCGCTGCACCTCCCCTAATTTTTTTTCCACCTCCCCCACTATTTCCACCAAAATCCGGCCTTGATGTAAATTTGATTTGCCTTAGGGTTACCTTGTTTTTCATCACAGTTGACAGCACATCCCAGTATAAGTTGCAATAATCTTCCTAATTCTGTTTTGTCGTGCTTTTCAGCTGTAATTTGGCAAAACGATATATTATTTGGTAAATAATATACGTAACACGCGTATACACAGGGACTGAATGAACTTACCAATACAAGAAACGTCGGGCAAAGTAAATCCAACAATGTCCATGTTAAGAACCTGAAGTTGAAGTAAAGCTTAATGAGAAAATAGAAGTTGAATAGTTGACTGAATTATTTTAGACGTCTGTTTCGTGCTTACGAATGCTTTCCCCAAATAATTCTCACTTTGGTGCGAGTTCAAGAAGGTTATTATAAGTTCCTTGTGCGTTTGCATGGCGAAATAGCTATATTTGTTTTGAGGCAAAACAAATAAATTTATTGGTGGTCTAAGAACACGCATTCGCTTGCGTACCCTGTCCAGAAACGTTGACCGTATCTCTTGTTTATTGGACCAGTATTGTTACGGAGAACTCTTTATTTACCTCAGTGTAATAATCCATAATCCCTTTCAACAATTTCTTAAGATTGCTACACTGTATCAACAAAAACAATCAGTTTTTCAATAAAAGGAAAACAACTTGCTGGCAATCTGTTTGAGAAATATCTCAAAGTTGAAGACTGCATGCCATTATTATATATAGTGCCTGAACTATCTGAACATTATTAAAACTGTTTTTAATCTTTTTGAGGAAGTTCACACAAGAACCACACCATGCATCTGTTTGTAAAATAATCTACAGTAAAAATCTCACATCTTGTCAACAATACAGTGTTTGCACTGCTTGTTTCCAGTTGTTGACAAATTTGGGAAAAGTTGTTATCAACGTAACAAGGTTGATGAGGTCAATAGACTCGCAACAAGTTGCTCCAACAAGTCTGATATCGTCTGTACTGCGAATACAGGTGTCTCGTATTGATCACATGCCGGGTACAAGGACTTACCCCCCCCCCCCTCTCCCATACATTAGGCCACTGTAAGAGCATAATGGAATTTCACCTTCAATCTCCAGTTATCTCCCGCATCTCTCTTGACTTTTGACATCCATTCATCATCAAACCAATCTGGGGCACTGAAAAATCACAGAGGACGAGATCAGTAATTGATCGGAACGTCCGAACGATGTGCGTGTCATCAGTGAGACCTTTTTTGCGATACTTTGGTTTCTGTACCGTACTCCAGTATACCTGTCGTGCTTATACTGTATTTCTGTAGCAATACAGGAATATAGAATATTCTGGCGTAATAATAATCTGCGTAAGTCGCCCATGCAGGGACTGGTTGTATGGATAGCGCATATCCACCGCATGGTGATTCTTTCGACCTTTATAGAAATAGATCTACAGAAATAACTATAAAAGCAGTAAAACTATGGATATGGAACCTCGAAAGCTTGAAAAATGGCTATTCCGAGACTCTCAGGGTGCTCTCTTGTAGACTTGAATCTTCGTATATTCTTTCAGCTTGCTATTGTTCCACACTGTTTTGTTAGTCTGGACATGGGGGAAGCAGTCTTGTTAATACACTCGCTTATCTCAGAGAGGGAATCCGTGTTCGTTGAACCAAGGTACACAAAGTCACGGGCAACATCCAGTTCATAATCAGAAATTCTGCGGGATTGCACGTGTTGTCCCTCGACCTGCCTTGTCTGAGCATCGCTGAAGCAATTTATGAGATGATGGAGTTATTCAGCTTGTTGGTGATTGCTGCGTCATAAGCAAAGCCGAGAAATCACACAGAACTTTGATTTTCCCTTAGCCTACAGTATGTACAGTAGAACGGTTGATATGCTTTCCAACTGACCTGTGTCAGAGATGTTCCACAGGTACTGTATATGCAAGTGTTTCAGAGGTATATACAAGTGTTTCAGAGGTATATATGCAAGTGTTTCAGAGGTATATAAACAAGTGTTTCAGAGGTATTTCAAAAACTCATTAATAACTCATGAAGCAATTATCCAATTTTGAGTAAGAAATTAGTCACGTGCATACGTCTTTATACCAGCTAAAGAACACTTTAACAAAAGACCATTGTTATGCAAACTATATAAAGATTTTTATATAAAGATTTTTATATAAAGGTTTTTATATAAAGATTTTTATATAAAGATTTGACTTATTATGCAAACGTTTTTGAAGCCATTTAAAAAACTCGCAGGTCGTGTTTTATTAGGTCTAAAGCAGGGCGTAGTAAAACACGTGTTTTACTACGCCCTGGTCTAAAGCCACTCGCGCTGCGCGCTCGTGGCTTTAAACCTAATAAAACACTCCTGCTCGTTTTTTAGTACATACAAGTGTTTCAGAGGTATATACAAGTGTTTCAGAGGTATATGCAAGTGTTGCAGAGGTATATGCATGTGTCGCAGATGTTTATGCATGTGTTGCAGAGGTATATGCAACTGTTTCAGAGGTATATGCAAGTGTTGCAGAAGAATATGCAAGTGCTGCACAGGTATATGTAAGTGTTGCAGAGGTATATGCAAGTGTTGCAGAGGTATGTGCAAGTGTTGCAGAGGTATATACATATGTTGCAGAGGTATATGAAGTGTTGCGGAGTTATATGCAAGTGTTTCAGAGGTATATACAAGTGTTTCAGAAGTATATGCAAGTGTTTCAGAAGTATATGCAACTAATGCAAGCGTTGCAGAGGTATATGCAAGTGTTTCAGAGGTATCAGTGCAAGTGTTTCAGAGGTATATGCATGTGTTGCAGATGTATATGCATGTGTTGCAGAGGTATATGCAAGTATTTCAGAGGTATATGCAAGTATTTCAGAGGTATATGCAAGTGTTTCAGAAGAATATGCAAGTGTTTCAGAAGTATATGCAAGTGTTGCAAAGGTATATGTAAGTGTTGCAGAGGTATATGCAAGTGTTGCAGAGGTACATGCAAGTGTTGCAGAGGTACATGCAAGTGTTTCAGAGGTATATGCAAGTGTTTCAGAGGTATCAGTGCAAGTGTTTCAGAGGTATATGCATGTGTTGCAGATGTATATGCATGTGTTGCAGAGGTATATGCAAGTATTTCAGAGGTATATGCAAGTATTTCAGAGGTATATGCAAGTGTTTCAGAAGAATATGCAAGTGTTTCAGAAGTATATGCAAGTGTTGCAAAGGTATATGTAAGTGTTGCAGAGGTATATGCAAGTGTTGCAGAGGTACATGCAAGTGTTGCAGAGGTACATGCAAGTGTTTCAGAGGTATATGCAAGTGTTTCAGAGGTATCAGTGCAAGTGTTTCAGAGGTATATGCATGTGTTGCAGATGTATATGCATGTGTTGCAGAGGTATATGCAAGTATTTCAGAGGTATATGCAAGTATTTCAGAGGTATATGCAAGTGTTTCAGAAGAATATGCAAGTGTTTCAGAAGTATATGCAAGTGTTGCAAAGGTATATGTAAGTGTTGCAGAGGTATATGCAAGTGTTGCAGAGGTACATGCAAGTGTTGCAGAGGTACATGCAAGTGTTTCAGAGGTATATGCAAGTGTTTCAGAGGTATCAGTGCAAGTGTTTCAGAGGTATATGCATGTGTTGCAGATGTATATGCATGTGTTGCAGAGGTATATGCAAGTATTTTAGAGGTATATGCAAGTATTTCAGAGGTATATGCAAGTGTTTCAGAAGAATATGCAAGTGTTTCAGAAGTATATGCAAGTGTTGCAAAGGTATATGCAAGTGTTGCAGAGGTATATGCAAGTGTTGCAGAGGTATATGCAAGTGTTGCAGAGGTATATACATGTGTGGCAGAGGTATATGCAAGTATTTCAGAGGTATATGCAAGTGTTTCAGAAGAATATGCAAGTGTTTCAGAAGTATATGCAAGTGTTGCAAAGGTATATGCAAGTGTTGCAGAGGTATATGCAAGTGTTGCAGAGGTATATGCAAGTGTTGCAGAGGTATATACATGTGTGGCAGAGGTATATGCAAGTATTTCAGAGGTATATGCAAGTGTTTCAGAAGAATATGCAAGTGTTTCAGAAGTATATGCAAGTGTTGCAAAGGTATATGCAAGTGTTGCAGAGGTATATGCAAGTGTTGCAGAGGTATATGCAAGTGTTGCAGAGGTATATACATGTGTGGCAGAGGTATATGCAAGTATTTCAGAGGTATATGCAAGTGTTTCAGAAGAATATGCAAGTGTTTCAGAAGTATATGCAAGTGTTGCAAAGGTATATGCAAGTGTTGCAGAGGTATATGCAAGTGTTGCAGAGGTATATGCAAGTGTTGCAGAGGTATATACATGTGTGGCAGAGGTATATGCAAGTATTTCAGAGGTATATGCAAGTGTTTCAGAAGAATATGCAAGTGTTTCAGAAGTATATGCAAGTGTTGCAAAGGTATATGCAAGTGTTGCAGAGGTATATGCAAGTGTTGCAGAGGTACATGCAAGTGTTGCAGAGGTATATACATGTGTTGCAGAGGTATATGAAGTGTTGCAGAGTTATATGCAAGTGTTTCAGAGGTATATGCAAGTGTTACAGAGGTATATGCAAGTGTTGCAGAGGTATATGCAAGTACCATGTTCCCATACTTTTTCCACCTATGCCAAGGAGAATGGGGTATAGACAGACCATGGCACTCCCCGTCTCCCCTAAACGTTTTCCATCTCTCTCAGCATTTAGACTAAATCTGGCCATGATACCACATGAGTGTTATCAAGAAATGTTGTGTTTATTAATATGTGATTTTTGTATTAATAAATAGTAACTGGTTAGAGCTCAACAACTGTCCTCTGTAGCTCAGTTGGGTTAGAGCGCTGCACTGGAAACACAGGGTCGCAGGTTTGATTCCAGGACCTGTATAAAGTTGCATTTTTCGCAACTGTTCCTTGTTAGGTCTAATAAATGTATATAAATTCCCACTTGATAATTTCCATCTACAAGACCCTTCAACTATTATTGAATTGAGTGAGATGCCAACAAAATCTCGATATTTACCCATGCATAACCTAAAACATGGCAGTATCCTACACATTATTTATATCTCATACTCTTTTTCTTCCATTTCCGTTTCCTGAACCGCAATGTCTTGTTGCAATTTATCGAAGTACTTTTGGGTTGGCATTATATAAACAAAGTCCTAACTGTCAATATTTTCCGAATCTGCGTTCTTGAATTCTAATCTTTCTTTAGCCTTAGCCTTTAAAGCCTTAGCTCTTTTCTTTGGTTTTTGAGGAAATGGTGAATGGAATCTCTTACTGGTAGCACCAAGAAAACTGGGGTTTTGCTCAATACCACGCACAGCCACCCTATATGGCATACCAACATTAATTATTTTGAAACTTTCAACATTATCGATAAAGGTTTTCTCTATGGAACAGCTTGTGCACACAAAACCATGTCTGAGAAGGACTCCGAATCTGCACGTCTTAAATCTACCCAGTCATTATCGCGGTCCATATATTTAATCGTCGCAGCCTGAACGAAATCACAAATTGCATTTATGCGATCATGGCTTAGGCCATCTATTGTCATGGAGTTGACTGCTTCGTCATCCATGAAGAATTTTACCCATTTCTCTGTACCGATTCCACTGCTGTACTCGATTTTAAATTTGTAATTTACATCAAAAAGCTTCGAAGTCATTGTAGTTTAAATCAAACAATTTATAAATCACTCTACTGTACGTGACACACAACAGCTGGAAAGGGCTTTAGAGAACCGGGCAGTTACATAAAAAGCCTCGTGTTTGAAGTCACATGACATGTAAGTTTGTGGGCGATGCCCAGACACGTTATTTTTTAGCCAGACCACACATGAGTGGTTTTCGTATTATATACATGAACTTGTGGTTGAGCTCGACAACTGGCCTCAGTGGCTCAGTTGGTTAGAGCACTGCACCAGAATCGCAGGTTTGATTTCAGGGAGCTGTTCCTGGTTAGGTCTAATAAATGTATATAAATTTCCACTCAATAATTTCCATCTATAAAACCCTTCAATCATTGATTAACCCTTTAACTGGCAATGTGCCCTGGTATTTTACTCTGTCTAACACTAGGCAATTTTACTTGTCGAGGGAAATCGAGTGCTGACTCTTAATGGATTAATTAGTTTCCTATGCAGACTTACTTTAGCGGGTTTGGGCCCGCCACGTACGGTCTGCTTACTTTCGCTAGCAATTCGCCTTCCCATTGTATTCCATTAGCCAATAGCATTCAAATACACTAGACACGCCCACTTTGAATCTCAAAGTGTAAACAAGGAGCGTGCGATAATCGAATAATAATACGGTATATACGTATTTAAATGGCCATAAATGTGAACAGATCGAGTTTTCTGATCAATAGCAGTCGAAGTAGAAAATATTGAATATTTTTCCAACGAATGTAAGCGATAGATCGAAGGCTTAGGGAGTGGTCATTATTTATGGGGAGGGGGGGGGGGAAATGGGGAAAATAAGGATTGAAAACTTTTTTGACCCTCCCCCCCTCCAGACTGAAGGCAAACTTTTTGTGCCTCCCCCCTCATAAAAGTAGAAACTTTTCTGACCCCCCCAGCGTGGATTGAAAAATTAACAGCAATGAAACAGGTGTGTGTTGCAGGTAAAGTTAGATATTAGGACAATCTGTTTAATCTAGCTCATGATGTTTTACCCTGGTGAATATGATTCACCATATATGATTAAAATATATATATTATGTGTTACTACTTTGCAATGCAACATTTGTCCTACCATAACCCTAACCCATGACCCGTCTTCATACAGCAAAATGATTTGAACACAGGGTTTTTTTAAGAACTTGTCTGGTGGTGGGCATGTACAAAAAGGGACCATACTATATTCAGTGTGGAGATATGACAGATGGTTGTTGGTGACAAAAAGTTTGGTGTGGTATCGTATGTACTAGTAGGGGGGTCTGGGGGTATTCTTCCACAGAAAATTTTTTGAATTTTTCCACCCCTAGAACTGAAATGTGAGCATTTTCTGAAACAGATTTTTGGATATACGGCGTTACATTGTGCGTTGATAGACCAAATCTGATCAGTTAAGTGTACTTGCATGGTATGTTTATGTAAATACCACAACTGGGTCACTCAGGGAGTAGAATGCTTGATAAACTTAAGTAGTGGGCCAGACTCCCACGATCGTGAGGCGCTACCATGGTTGGCGCCGAGCAGGGAAATTTTGAAAATTTCGAGTCTCCAGATCGTTGGAAATAGCATTTTCAGAGTCTTCTTTTTTGCTATTTGTGATTATAAAAATCAGAACTCTAGACATGGTATTTAAGTTCAAAAACTTTTATGACCCCCCCTTTCTCTGTGTTAAAACTTTTTTAACCCCCCTATTTATAAGGGTAAAACTTCGTTTTCCCCCCTCCCTCCCATTTCCCCCCTCCCCCCCTCCCCATTAATACTGACCACTCCCTTACACTTGATCCAATTTTGATCGGGGCTATGGTCTACATTTCGTAGACAATAGCCCCGTATAAAATGGGCCAAGTATAAAATTGGCCAAGTATAAAATGGGCTGTGATAGTTATATCATAGAATAGGAAGGTATACCAGAAGTCTCACTCAAGCAAGTATTTGTCCGCGTTTTTACAAGCGATTCGTCATCAATCACGCCGTCCTGGCTAGTACTGGCACTTTGTACCTACCAAAACCTGATAAAAACTTCCGGCTGTACTAGCCAGGATGGCGAGAGCGAGTTAATATTTTCTTGGGTTACACTTCTGCTATACTTTCCTATTTTGTGGTTATATGCTGTATATTCAAATACATTTAAAAAATATCGTGCACGCGGCAAGATTCGATAAAAAATAATAGTGCGGAGTCGGTGAGGTCCAAAAAAATCGAGCACTCTCAAACCCCCCCCATGAAAAATCAAATGGTCCGTCCCTAACTAGCCTGATAACAGACCTACGTTTCGCCCGCCCTAAAATTCGCGGGTCGACGAAGGGCGAAACGTAGGTCTGTTATCAGGCTATCCCTAACCGAAGAGAGATAGGAGCACCTCCTCCAGTAATATAGTATAGGTCAGCGGTAGTGCCGCGAAAATTTGCGCGAACGAGAGGGATCTGGTACCTAATGAAAGTTGGCGCCATTTAATAAGAGTAACGAGTAACATTGTGATTTCGTCCTCGCTTTCTTCTGCTTTCTTCTGCTTTTTTTCTTTCAATTTATCGTCGAATTACTGCTAAGGAACTCATGACAAACCATAAATGTTAATCACCGTTTAACTTGTGTGAAACTCGTGAAATACGATGGCTAAAGTGAATATTTGTAACGTGACAGTTCTTGATAATCCATCGCCATATTTTAATCCATTCCAGTTTGAAATTACGTTTGAATGTTTGGAAGATCTCAGTGAAGGTAAGAGCGAATTATTGACTTATTGAAATGTATGTTTTATTGTGCAATGTACATGTGTATTTTTGTGCGACTCATATATCATAAATTGTAATAAATTGGCGCATTGCAACACAAATATATTTGAAAACATCTTGGCTGACATTGCATATTGTCACGTTGCTGTATTAAACCCAGGGCATAGTCACTGCATAGGGCTTATGAACAAATATATTACTTCTCCATTGTACTTTATATAATTTGGTGTTTACTTGCTAAAGACAGGAATCTAGTCTGGGGGGAGACATATTCTAAAACACACTGGTGGATTACCAGGGCTTATATATTTGCAGTCCTTCAAGATGACATTCCCACCAGTGGCGTAGCTAGCGGTCATGCTGAGCATGACAAAAATTTCCCCAAAAATAAAGAATTTCTTTCCGCTAAAATTCAAATCTTTTGAAACTTTCACAAGTACTTTAGACACGATTTCGCTATATTATGTCATTTTCAGTAAAATATTGCTCATTTGCATAGGTTACCTAGCAACAAACATGGCGAGTTCGTGTGAATTTCGTGTGTACAGCATGTTCCACGCATTTCGCGGTCTAGTCATGCCCTCTGAAATCAGCATGACCAAGTAATATATTTTATAGTAGAAATCCTGGCAATCTGATTGGATAATGGCAACTGCGCATGCTCAAACGCGCTGTTTCGCAACGTCTAGTCATGCTCATTTTCCAGAGCATGACTTGAGCCTTTGTCCTTTGATACAGTCTTTCTGTTCGAGATAATTCACGCTCGAATTAGTCGAATACTCCGTTCACGTGTCAACTGATCAAGGTAAGTGATTTCGCATTGTATTAATTTGCATTTTAATGGCTTCAGGAAGCGTGACGGCTTCCACAGAAGCAGATATTATAAGTGATATGCTGAAGAAACCTTTCTCGATCTGCTCGTCAATCAGGCGAGCAAAATATAATTGTAACACAACGGCCAATGCCGAATTTATACAATCGACCACTGGAGATAGAAGCTTTCAGGAGAGTTGGTACACAAAGAAAGATTGGCTTTGTGGTAGTTTTACTTAATGTTTAACCAAGAAGGCAACATTTGTTTTGCTGGCCATGTTTATATGCACCTATCAATGTTAAGCCCCAGAGGTGGGGGGTCGGGCATATGTGGGGTACTGGGGCATTTGATTTTTTGAGCAAATTTTCAATCAAATGCCCCACCGTCGGGCAATAAACATTGGTTAAATATCCAAACCATTTTCCAATAAATTGCAATAAATACTATATTAATTAATAAAAGTCATTTGATTCACATTGCCCTAACTCAGGCCCAAAATGCTAATCAAAATCCCCCGGGTGAGAATGCAATTGATTATAAAATACCCCACATATGCCCGACTCCCCTCAGGGGCTTAACATTGATAGGTGCATTATTATAGTCCCTTGAAATTATATCAGGGAATATTAGATTTATAGGGGAAATATCTACATGAAAGTGGTGACCTCAAAATAAAATTTAATATTTCTTTTACTATAATTACCAATACCAGAGTTATACGCCTGTGTTCTAAACACTCACTCACACTCAATGAGTGGAGGTTTAATCTGAGCTTACCTTGAGTGTCAATATTGTTTTTGAATAGGTGGAGGGTGAGTAGTCACATAGTAAGGTTCGATACTAACTCCCCAGCTTTGCCAAAACAGCAATGACACTCAAGAGAAGCTCAGATCGAACCTCCACTCATTGAGTGTGAGAATGAGTGAGCTTTTAGCTAGAATACAGGCGATAGGGGAAATATCCACAGATCCACTCAAATGTGGTGACTCATGATATAACTATTCCTGGGGAGATGACCACTGGACTTAAATGTGGTGACCCCCAAATATAATATCTCTATAAAGTCTATTAATTTTTTAATAAAATGACCAGAGTTATAAGGGAAATATCCACTCAAATGTGGTAGCTCATGATATAAAAAGTCCAGAGGAGATAACCACTTGACTAGAATGTGGTGACCCTAAAATAGCTTAGATTGCTATGAGGTCTATTAATTTTTTTATTAGATGACCAGAGTTATTAGGGAAATATCCACTCAAATGTGGTGAGCCCATGATATAACTCTTCCTGGGGAGATAACCACTTGAATGTGGTGATTCCAAAATATAATTTCATATATTTCTTTTACTATAAGTTTTATTTTTTTAATAGATGACCAGAGTTATATGGGAAATATCCACTCAAATGCGGTGGCTCTTGATGAGTGATGACATGTGGTGACACATAATTTCCATGTTATTCTTTTACTATTTCTATATTAATTAGACTTTTACTATTTCTATATTAATTAGACTCATCGTTTCTTTAGTCTTTGCTCCAATTATGAGAACTTTCATGCTCAGTTAGAACTATACCGCCAGATTCTTAATAAGAATTGTTATCCAACTCGTCTTTTTGATCGCTGCGTACGAACATTTTTAGAAAATGTGTCTCAACCCAAACCAGCTGTTCATTCTGCTCCTAAGAAAGTTCTATATTTTTCTGTTCCATATACTGGCGCTCACTCTCTTCAAATTCGCACCCAAATCTCCCGTCTTTGTTCCTCGGCCTTTCCCCATCTTAATATTAGATTCGTTTTTCGTCCAACTTTACGTTTGTCTCAACTCTTCACCTTTAACGACAAAATTCCTAACGCTTTAAGATCTTGTGTTGTGTATTCCTTCACGTGTCGTTGCTGTTCCGCAACGTATTTGGGCCAAACGGTCCGTCACTTGCACACACGAGTTTCTGAACATTTGGGTGTTTCTCCTCTAACAGGCAGTAAAAGCAGCAATCCGACCATGTCTAGTATCCTTTCCCATCTTGATAGCACTGGTCACTCCGCTTCTCTTAATGATTTTAAGATTATTTCTTGTTGCTCTTCTCCAGACGAACTCCTCATTCGAGAAAGTCTTCTCATTAACAAACTCAAACCCTCTCTCAACTTACAAGGCAGTTCGGTCCCTCTACTTCTACTCTGATCCATTCCTCTTTCTACTTTTGTAATATAATATCTTGTAAATAGTTGTAATTTATTCATATTTCTGTGTTTTCCGCTTTGTATGTCATTGCTCTGAAGATGTCTTAAGTTAAAGACGAAACATTAGCTTTCAAATAAATATTTTAAATTATATTTTTGTTATGGCTTTTTTACGTGTTTTATGCTGGGCATTAATATTTATCCTAAGATTACGATTTCCGCTTGGTTCATCTATCGCAAGTATTTTGCACAGAAAATTGCGCCAGTCTTCACCTCACCGGTACAGAAAGTTTGTCTCGCATTTACATATTAGTCTATGGCGGGCTTATTGTATGCTTTTATGTACTTCTTTTTTGTTGGAAATGACTATTGTCGTTCTAGTGCAGCATCATAACTTTTTGATTATTGTTTGCAATTTGCACCCAATCTGAGACTGAGCATGCTAGTGAAGTTATAAAAAAATTAAACTCGTTTGAGCTATTTGTAATGTAATTAGTAATGCTGTTCATGCTGAAATAAAATAATTATTACAGATTGTTTTTATTGTGTTTTTATTATATGAATTTCCATACTTTTCGCCGCACAGAACGCAGGAAATTAAGTTCGAGTGACGCTAAATTGCCCAAATGTTTTGTATGAATATGAATAGATAAATGTCTGAAAAGGCCGTTTCCGACGATCTAGAGGCCCTAATTTTTAATTTTTTTCTCGCTCGTGAGCTTGGTACTCAGCAAATAGCGTGACCAATCATTTTTTCCTGGCTACGCTACTGATTCCCACGCACTTTCTGCTGATTTAGACAATGATAACGAACGTGTAGATACAACAAGGTTCATAACGTCTACTTGCAACAAGGCTCATAAATTCCTAGATATTTGGAGTCGACTTGTCGACGTTTGTCCCGATGGGCAACCACACTCTTGTGTTTTGATCGTTTTAAATTTTGTGTAATTAATCTCTTGTTGTTCCGTCATCGAGTGTTAATAAAGCTGTGTCAAAAGATGGTTTGTCAAAATGAAAGTGAACAAAATATTGATGATAATAAACTCAGCGAAGATAGCGATTTACCTTTTTGTATGATGTCAGAATACTGATTTGATATTTCAGTAAAATAGTCCGGAATGTTAATACTTGATTGCGAGTTTTTCTCAAGGAGTAAATAAGGACCCATGTGGGACGAAAAATTTTAAATAGTAAGTGTATTATATGATATACTTACTCTGTGACATCAATCAACAATGTCAATGATAATAGTAATCCAAGCATGGAAGGTAAGAGTATTTGTAACACAGTAGCAGTGTTGTGGTTCATTCAACTTCATTCTTTTATTTTTATCTAATTTAATGTGGGCAAGTTAGAAATGGCTTCGGGCAATCAAATTGTGAGTCTTGCCTGCCCCAAGGGCAACCACTTTTTTCAAAATTTTGCAAGTCCTGGCTGTAATACTGTATATTTTCTATTTTTTAAGTATTAGGGGTGCACCAGGACTCCCGGAACCCCGATTTTTCAGATTTCCTGTTCCGGCCGGAACTAATAAAAAAAGCATGTCCGGAACCGGAACTCTGTTGTTTTCAGAGAGATAGAATATCAAACTTTTTATGTCTAACAAAAGTTCACAGTAGGAAGAAATTTGGACTATACAAGGGAAATGTACACTATTAACACTTCATTATATGACATTTAACGTTTGTCAATCTTTTTATTCTAACTCTCTCCTTGATGACTTGACGTGTCTGCTTGTCTGGCAGCGGACAAAGTAACATATGACCATATATGGCTTAATAAATCAGTTATGGTCTGGCCGGAACTTTTTTCCAGTTCCGGTCGGATCTGGTTCGCCGGCCGGAACTTAAAAAAATTGGTTCCGGTGCACCCCTATTACTTATCTTCTATTTTTGAAGCATTTAACTTTTAAATAAAAAGGTGCTGTCAAAATTGTCGCTGAACTTAAAATACCAACAGCCATTTTTTGTCGACGAGGATTTAAAATAAATTATGCTGCTTGAAGATTTAACTATCAGGATGCATTAATGAATTGGCAGATGGTCCGATTATTCGATTAACCCATTGAGTGGCAGCGCTATCACCCCGTTGCCGCTCAAGGGATATATTACTTCGTGGAAGTTACTAACAAAGAAATAAGCAAAATTAAAATAAATTCAGCCCCCCCCCCCCAAAAAAAAAAGAAAACACAAAAGACTTGTGTAAAAATACTAAAACAATTATTTGCCTCAGACTCGGTGATTATCGGGGAACATTCACCTTAACTTTGTCTCGTTTATTCCCCAATAATCACCTCGCCTTCGCCGAATAATTGTTAAATATTATTATTTATATGTACAGTAATACTTGTATTATAATGACATGGAAAACTATGCAATATAATTGTAAATATATGTGGTGTACCACAAACCAAAATTTGTATTGTATTATTACCATGCAAAACTACCATGCAAGAACTTAATGTTATACATGGTTAGTGAAAGATTCCATATGGCAACCTCCTTTGTTGTATTGCTTTTGAGAAATACACATCTATCAGTCAGAATTGACCATGCATGAGGCCAAAAAAAAATATGTGGGTTTCCGGTTTCTTATAAAAACTTAGGTTGGTAGGTCGGTTTTAACTTTTTTTTTTTAAATTTTTTTTTTTAATTTTCCGAATAAGCCGACGCCTTTTGTTTAGTCAGTGCTTCCACATCCAAAGATAAATTTCCCTAATATTGCTTCAAATTTCAATTTTCCACAAACTTTTTCCTCTAAGGGCCTGTTCATATGATCCCGCTTACCGGGACGTCTCGCTTACCGAGACGAATATTTCCGTGCGTTCATATGGAGTATTTCGTCCCGCTTGCCGAGATGAAATTACAATGTAGTTCTATAATTAGCGTATGCAAAACTTCTACATTTCAGTCAAGCAACACAAATACTTAGCGATTTTAGTGTTTTTCTTCGTTTATTTACAAGAAAAAGTATTGCTTCAGGTGCTTATTTAATACTTGTTTACAAAACAAACATAAAACCAAGTAAAAAGTGTTAAATTAAACCGGCAAGACTTGTTTGACTTCATCCCGGTCAGCGGGCTGGCGTGTTCATATGGAAAAAATTTCATCCCGCCTACCTATGATCTCGGCAAATTCAAACGAGATCTCGGCAAGCGGGCCAACTTGCTTTCTCATATGAACACAATGCAAAATTTTATAGGAAAATAGATAGGCGGCGAGATCATCGGTAAGCGGGACGTCCCGGTAAGCGGGATCATATGAACAGGCCCTAAGTGGAAACACTTACAAGCATGATCCAATAAAAAAGTTTAGGGTCGGGATTTCGGTAATCGTTCCATGTTTCGCGCACCAATATAGTAAACGTTATGTAATGGATATTATCGTGTACTGAAAAGTTGGACTTGAATGATGTGATTTCTTGCACTTCACACACCCTAACCCTATCCCTAACCTTAAACCTAACCCCTAACCTAACCCCTAATACCTAACCCCTAACCCTAACTTATATTGGTGCGCGAAACATGGAACGATAACCGGGATTTCGACGTCCAAAAGCTAGGTAGGGTCGGGAAACCGGAAACCCACATTTTTTTTTTTGGCCTGATATCCTTTGTGTCATGCAAGTGCAATTAGTAACCTCGTCCTTGACCTGTAATTTATAATGTTTTGAAATGATTTTAGACCTGGAGTGGAAACTTATCTATGTTGGTTCAGCTGAAAGCTCAGATTATGATCAAGTGTTAGATTCTGTTTTGGTTGGACCAGTACCTGGAGGAAGACATATGTTTGTATTTCAGGTAATATACTTTCATAACAAACTAACAATATTTGTCAATATATTGTATATAATATACAGTCCTATTATTTGCAGTGCACACCTCCAGGAATATTGAGTATTATTAGGGAAGCTGGCAAACAAATAATGTTTTTGGCACAGGTATCATAATCCATTGATCGCCCTTCTTGATTAAAAGTAGACTTGGTTCAAGTCCGTCTCAGGAGAAAAGTAGGGAGAGACGGACTTGGGACATTTGCAGCATTTCGAATGTTACTTGCAAAAATTGGCACGAAAATTTGTTGTTGTTCTCAACTGGCCACGCCTCCGTAGGGAAAATCCGACGGTAAATTTTGGCGCGCTTGCAGGGTATCCAACAATTGATGATGCCATAATTGACAGCTACATTCATATAGCTGGATTTTGAGGGCAGGTGTGGGAAGGTGTGCACTTTCCCTCAGATTATTTTGACTACAGTATTTCCTCTGATATTTTCTTGCCTCCCCTTAAAATGAATACACCTTCCCTAAACAAAGGGTAAAATGAATGATCAAAGTGAAGATTCGACTCAAACTTAACCGTTAACTTTAATGTTTGTTATTAATTTTTAATGCTTGAGATAGTTGAATCCCTCTTAATCTGCAGCGTTCTGCTGTTATTGTCACCATTTATGCCGACACAGACTGAGTTTACAGTATATCATGGATCTATTACGCTTTTTGTGAATGGAAACATGGTGCAATGCTGTGAACAAATCTTTTCTATGCTCACGTCCCTTTCCAACTTTCTATCTTTTCAAAGGCGGACAGCCCAGATCCAAAGAGAATCCCAATTCAAGATGCTATTGGAGTAACGGTTCTTCTACTGACATGTGCCTATCGAGGACAAGAATTTGCGAGAATTGGATATTATATTAATAATGAATATATCGATTCTGAGTTGAAAGAAAATCCACCAGACAAAACTGATTTTCAAAAGGTTTGTCCTTTCATTACATTTTTTAACTTTAGTTCCTTAGAAACATGTGAATATTTTAGGCTAAATTAGATTATAATTTCACAAAAATTTCCCCTTTATTCACATGTGCACAAAGTTTTTGAAATGTTTGATGCCGTGATAGTAACATAATACAATATCTAAGGGCCTGTTCATATGGGCAAAAGTTATCCCGGTTAACGAGAGAACTTTTCGACTAGAGGTAGCCAAATATTTTCGTTCTGTTCATATCACGTTCCTGTGCTCACGTTCAGACGTGTCCAAATGAGCTCTACAAATTTTAAAAATATCGATCAAATGATCTGTATGTAGTCGTTTTCTAAAGGCCGGCGCACACTAGAGCTATGTGCTTAGCAAAATGTCATTCGTGACTGTTGGCGTAAGGAGATAGCTCTCGTGTGCGGGCGATTTACGAACGACTTTTGTCATTCGTGCCACTTACGCCAAATATCTCACATGTTTGATAATTTCTGCCTCGCGTGCCAAAATCTTTCCGTGTGCGGCGAACGAAAGCTATCTGCTTACGGATTGTCGTAACAGCGCATGCGTAGTATACGAAAGTAAACATCCAAGATGGCGGCGCAAAATGAATTGCTGGCCGAGGCAATTTTAGAGGACAAACTTGTCGAACTTTGGCCTGAATATAAATGTTTATACGATGTGAGTTCTGCAGATTTTAGAAATAGGGACAAAAGGGAATGTGCGGTGAAAGAAATAGCCAGTAAGTTTGTCCTCTAAAATTGCCTCGGCCAGCAATTCATTTTGCGCCGCCATCTTGAATGTTTACTTTCGTATACTACGCATGCGCTGTTACGACAATCCGTAAGCAGATAGCTTTCGTTCGCCGCACACGGAAAGATTTTGGCACGCGAGGCAGAAATTATCAAACATGTTAGATATTTGGCGTAAGTGGCACGAATGACAAAAGTCGTTCGTAAATCGCCCGCACACGAGAGCTATCTCCTTACGCCAACAGTCACGAATGACATTTTGCTAAGCACATAGCTCTAGTGTGCGCCGGCCTATAGAAAAAAGAATATTTAGTGATTTAGACTCTGTTGACTGGACTAAAAGTCCTAAAATAATAACCGAGGAGCTGTCCTCTGATGAGATGGCTACTCAATTTTATGAAACTTTATGGCCTAAATTTGAAACTTTTTTTCCACTAATAAACGTTCGATCATCATCGCGTGACCCACCGTTCATGTCTCCGTTTGTTAAGCACTTGTTAAGAACGAATGATGAAGACACAATTACTCGTTTACAGAATCAAATTAATCGTCTTATCCACTCCAACCAGGTTAATGCTGTTAAAAATGAGAAAAATGGATCTCAGAAATGGTAGAGTAAAGTTAACAGTATGACTGGAAGAAATGGAAACACTTTACCAATCAGTTCTATAATAGAACCAAGTGTAATAAACACTTACTTTCAAGGCATAAATACTGACCCTGAATACACTGCTCCCCAGATGCTCCAACAGATCAGATTTTAAAGCAATAATATCCAACGGAGATAAGAAATTATGGCTAAGAATTATAAATGATGATAACAATGCTTTACACAATCTTTTACCTAGTAAGTTAAATCGACCTTTAAGACGGAGAGGTCATGACTGTGAACTATTATTATTATTATTATTATTATTATTATTATTATTATTATTATTATTATTATTATTATTATTATTATTACTACCAAACGTACTGTGTTAGGAAAATGATGACTATTGCCATTCGAAGTACATACTATATTTTTTGCTGCCGAAATAAGGAATGGGAAAGTCCGGACTTGTTAAGTATTTGAAATATCTGATTGTCTTGTATATTTATATATTTTCATGTATTCTGTCTTATCATTTTTATTAGTTCATATAGTTGTGATTCAAATAGCCAATTGTAAGTTACCTTAAATTAGTGAGATTTACAATTGTATATATATAGTATATAACAAAATTATTAAAGTTTCCACTATTATTATTATTATCATTGACTGGGATAGAGGGGCTCAATCGTTTAATGCTACAGTAGAACCCCGCTAACTCGAACTCCTCGCTAACTCGAACTAAATCCAATTCCCCTTGGATCTGATACTGTTTTTTATAGTAATTTACTCCGCTTAACTCGAACTCACTTAACTCGAACTCCTCGCTAATTCGAACAAATTTTGTTTTCCCTTGGTCAAATTTATCCCATGAACTCGAACTTTGTTTTCGAGTCGTGGATCGGCAAACCTTAAAATGTCAGAACATAGCATTTTGACAACCGGTAACTTGGATTTTTATTCAAATAACAACAATTTAATCGGTGTATAAATGATCATAAATTTTAAGAGATTATACACATAGTTGCGACGATTGTTATTGATCTAATTTTTTTAGTTCCTTTTGTAAATTTCTACATATTTTTCATGTCCAAAGAACTTTAGTTTGCATGGAAATTGAATGCCTCCTCCATCACCCAAGTTAAAAAGATACTGACTAAAGAACTTTAGTTATAGGAATGCACAATTAAACCTTTTGTAATTTTGATGAACAGTATAATAAAACTTTTGTACCTTATTAATTATTAACATAATAAACGAAATCAGACACCAACTCCGGTTAATTCGAACCCCCGCTAACTCGAACAATTTTTCGTTCCCCTTGGGAGTTCGAGTTAGCGGAGTTCTACTGTACTATAAGGCAAAGTTCGTCAAGCTGTCAATCTAATTTCCAATGCAAATTGTCGAGGCCTCTTAAATATCGACACGTTAATTCCAGCTGGTGAAGACAAAGAGGGTAATATTCAATGGAAAACAACAAAAAATTTTTTATGGAAAACATCCACCGGGGTGTATTCCCAGCGATGACATTCTTTTGCAAGATATGAATTCTGACGAGAGTTACTACGACCCAATTATATTCGAAAGAATAACTGGTGATTTGATTATGAGGCATGTTGTGAGGCGGCTGTTCATGCCCTTAATCAGATTATGGATTCAGAAGAGATGGAAGTATTGCCACTTGTCGATGCTACGAACGCTTTTAATACACTAAACAGGCAAGCAGCATTATACATAACATTCAAGTTATATGTTCTGTGATATCGACCATCTTGAATAACACTTATAAGGCCTCCGTGAGGATGTTCGTGGCAGGAGGTGGAGAAATAGCGTCAATGGAAGGCAGTACACAAGGCGACCCGTCAGCCATGACCATGTACACGCATTAGCTATAACCCCACCAATGAAAAGATTAAAGGAACAAGCACCCACCGCAAGTCAGGTATGGTTCGCGGACGATTCCAATGCAGCAGGAAGATTACGAGTCAAAGTGGCAGCACTTAACAATAAGGTGGCAGCACTTAACAATACTTGGCCCTGAATTTGGCTATTTTCCAAACGCAAGTAAGACAACAATGGTAGTCAAAGAGGCATTCTTTGAACAAGCGAAGGATTTATTCGAGGAAACGGCTGGCATCAAGATTACCACTGATGGTCATAAAATACTTGGAGCTGCCTGCGGTAAACGTTCATTTGTGGACGAATATATAGCTGATAAGATAGACGAATGGGAGGAGGAAATCGAGACGTTATCTAAAATAGCTGAAATGTATCCACATGCTGCATATATCGCATTTACTCGTGCTATTGTGAGGGAAATGGCAATATCTTATGCGAACGATTGATGGTATCGGTAACATGTTTCAACCGTTGGAGAACGCTATTTCGGCCGAGCTCATTCCAGCCGAACTCATTCCAGCTTTAACGGGCAGAGGACCTTGTTCGAACGTAGAAAGAACAATACTCTCTTTGCCTACGCGTCATGGTGGACTTAACCTTGTTAATCCTGTTGAAGTCGCGAATATTCATTATAACGCATCTTTAAAGATTACTGAACCTCTGAAGAAGATGATCATTAATCAAACAACAACTTATATAAGAAAATATATCTACACGACGTAAAAGCCGATCTGCGAAAGCAAAAGAATCAGTACCATCAGCAACTAGCCACGGAGGTTAGAGAATGCTCGTCGCCCAACATGGAAGAATGACTATATCTCGTCGTAACGAAATCCGTGATCTTACCGCTTATTGGATGAGTGAAGTATGCAGAGAGACGGAAACTGAACCGCCATTGCAGCCTTTATCTGGAGAGATTATCCTTCTCCGTTCCGCGAATAAAGAAGAAGATGCTGGGGTCGATATTGAGACTATCGGACTTTGGGACGGCAAATCGCTTGGAAAATCGTTTCACATAACAAATTGTAAAACATTTTTACAATTTTTAAACGTAAACATATATAAAAATTGATTTAGTACGAGAAATCCTAAAGTAAAGGGCAAGTTTGTTCAATTGTTTATGTATGACTTTGTATTAATATAGACTTTGTTCTTGATGTTCACGTTCTTCCTATGCATTGTTTGCGAAAGTTTCTTAGTTAATTAAATTAACTTTTGTAGAAGGTCATGATAAAAAGGAAAGCAAATTATTTTCATTAGCGCCCTGCACGAATTAAATTTATTTCATTTTAAAGTGCGAGTGATAAGTTGAAGCTCGAGTTAAAGAGTTTATAAATATCGGCAAATGCCAAAAAGCAGTTATTTCAATTCACATTTAAAAACGTTTTGCGCAGAGTTTCGTTTTGAATTTTACATTAAAATAAAGCCCGTAGAAACCAAAATAATATACCTACTTTATATATTTTAGAAATTGATAGTCCTGTATTTAAAAGTGTTCAAATTTAATCTATTTTTTTCAGGTTTGTACAAAAAATTGAAAAAATAATTATCGTGTTGCCATATGACTAACATGACGTGCAACGCGAGCCTGCGTTCAGTGTTGGCGTAATTACGAATACTTCATGTTGAAACAATGTTTAGAAAATATAGGGGCTTCAATCGTTTAATACTACAAGGCAAAGTTCGTCAAGCTGTCAACTAATTTCCAATGCAAATCGTCGAGGCCTCTTAAATATCGACACGTTATACGACACGATGTATATCGTTTGCAGCTGGCCAAGGTTTTGAGAACATTGGTCGCGGCAGCTTTTGGAGTTAATATGCAAGCATGCATAAAACTATTCACATAACTTTCAGGAATGGCTGTAGTTCTCTGCCTAGTTCTCTGCCTAGTTATTTGGGGAATAATAACGATGAAACATACTTCACTTTTATTGAAACAGATCGGTATAGTAATATACAGAATTATAGTAATCCATTGAATATTGTTTGCTATCTTCTTTGTTGTATTATAATAATTATACTATAGTTTTCATAACTATAATTACGCAGTTCAAGTTAAAATTCTGACCAGGTCGGTTTTCTAATCGAAATCTTCTTCTGGCTGTTTGGAAGATTCTTGTGTAAAAAAATCCTATTAAGGTTAGCGAAATACATATATTTACTGTGCCAAAGACAAAATACAGTTTTGGGTACACAAGTGATATAGCCATCATGACGATGATCGCAACAACACTAAGACAAAGATACGTTTTCAGAGATGTCTTAGTTATTCGAGTGCGATGAACAAATGGATGCAAAACACCCATATATCTTTCAAAACTAAGTGCGCACAACATTGCCATTGATAATCCCATTGGTATAAATGCCACAGTTGAAATAATAAAATTTGCAACGCAGTTGGCAGTACCCACAAATTCACTTGCTAGGACAAAGGTAAACAACGGTATGCTAACTGCTCCAGCTATCAAGTCAACCAGCGATTGAAGATAAATAAGAAAGAAGCAAATTTTCACTTTCAGATGAAAGCATTTATAGATTGTAAGTATTGCGGTACCGTTCAGCAACACAGTTGCAACTGACAACAGGCAATTCAGAAAACATACAATAATCTGGTTGATCACATAGGCATTGGAGGGAAATTGGATAATGGAGACAGATATACCTTCCAGGACAGAGCAACGTTTCACGAACTGTGAAACTGCGGTCAAATTCATTCTTCGATGTTCTTTTTCTCTTCAGTAGAATGAACACATGAGAACTACGTTTTGTTAAAAACGCATTCAACTAACCACGTCCACCCACCAAGATACTTAAATATACAGGAGGTGCATGTTCATGTAATGTCAGTGAATAGTGCTCAAACGTTTTTTTTCGTAGTGAATAAATTTGAATTGTGAGTGTTGGCAAACATTTAACAAAATAGCAGTTGTTCATCCCTTTGACCTCACCGTTACTGCATGCATGGCTGTTGGTGAATGGTAATCTCTCTCTATATAAATGGAAATAGCGCGATATAAATGGAAACATGCACAGACGACAGCAGAGGAGGAATAGTTTCCCCGTATAAGTTTGGTTGTGCCAGATAACTTATCATAATGGCCTCCTTGCACAGCCTTGCGTAAGCACTTGTGCCAGACAAAAAGACGCCGCGGCACTTATTTTCAAAGAATGTGTGCATGAATATAATTTTAAGCACTTTAGTTTTTACAAAGCTGTTTTATTGTCTGTCTGGCCAGGGAGTTCTAAGGGAAACATTCATAAAGGCTATGTTACACGAGACAAATTTTTCTACAATCCTAAATTTCCGACTTAGAATAATAATAATAATAATAATAAACATTTATATAGCGCACAAATCAAGACTGTTCTAGGCGCTTTACAGTAATACAAAATCCAATCTTAAAACTAGTGTTAAGAATGTTAAAACTATAGAATACATCATACACTATTTAAAAACAAGTTAAAAAGATATGTTTTAAGAAACTTCTTAAAAATGGTTAATGATTCACACATCCGAAGATGAACAGGTAAATCATTCCACAATCTTGGTCCAGCAACACAGAACGATCTGTCTCTGTATGTCTTTAGTCTAGAATAAGGAATCTGGAGCAATTCATTTCCATTTGATCGAAGAGTACGCTGCGAAGTACGACACAGCATAAGTTCCTTCAGATACGATGGAGCAAGATCATTAACAGCTTTGTAGACAAGAAGTATAATCTTGAATTGAATACGGTATTGGACAGGTAACCAATGCAATTCGATAAGAACTGGGGTGATATGCGCCGATTTCTTAGTATCAGTTAGTAAACGAGCTGCAGTATTTTGGACTCTCTGAAGCTTCTGAAGCAAATATTTGGGTACACCATACAACAGGGAGTTACAATAATCCAGTCTTGAAGTTATAAATGCATGAATAATTATTTCTAAGCAATTTCGAGGTAGATACTTCTTAATTCTTGAAATATTCCTAATATGGTAGTAAGCTGACTTGCAGATACCATTAATATGTTCGCCCAATCTGATCCACTCATCAAAAATCACCCCCAGATTTCTTGCTGAAACAGTTGGCACAATTTTTTCCTTTCCCACCATGATATAATTTAAGGGAGGCATCAGATGATAGCGTGAATGGACTAATATAAGCTCCGTTTTGCCACTATTTAGTTTCAATTTATTCAACATCAACCAGTTTCCCAATTCAAGTATACATTTCTCCATACGGATCTTAGATGATATTAAATCATCACGATCATTCGTTTTGAATGCAATGTAAAGTTGCGCATCATCAGAAAAAAAGTGAAAGCGCAGATTGTGGCGCCTAGCCACATCCGCGAGAGGGGCAGTATAGAGTGAATGCAACAGAGGACCCAACACAGATCCCTGAGGTACACCACAATCAAGATCACTCAATAACGAATCAGTTCCCTCAACACGAATAAACAGTTTCCTGGATGTAAGGTATGAGGTAAGCCAATCCAACACACGACCCCTTATGCCAAAGCGTTTCGATAGTCTTGTTAATAACATTAAATGATCCACGGTGTCAAAAGCCGCCGACAGATCCAGTAGGACAAGAATAACAGAATCACCGTTATCTAGAGCTTGAAGGATATCATTTTGAACCCTCAATAGCGCTGTTTCAGTACTATGACAAGGTTTATAAGCAGACTGGAATTTCTCATGTAGATGATTTTCAGTAAGATAATCAGTTAATTGTACAGCAACTGCTTTCTCAATAGATTTCGAGACAAATTTCAGATTTGATATTGGACGAAAACTGCAGAATTGTTCATAGGAAAGATTGTACTTTTTTAATAGCGGTTGAACAACAGCAATCTTCAAAGAGTCAGGCATTGTACCACTTTCCAAGGAGAGGTTGATTATTCTAACTACAACGGGTAAGATGTCTTTAAAACAGTGATTTAGCATGACCACCGGGAGTGGATCCAGAGAACAGGATTTAGTTGCGATACGTTGGATTAAATGGAGCACTTCGTCTTTTCCAACCTCCCTGAAGGTGTGAAATTCATAAGGACATGAATCAGCATCAGGTATAGGATTTTCTATGTTTTTACTCAAGAGTTCATCTTCGATATCACCTCGTATTTTAACAATTTTCTGAGTGAAGAAATCACTAAATGAGTTGGCAAGTGACATTGGGTCAGGAGAAGATGGATAGCGAATAATCGTATTTGTATCCAGCAAATTGCTTACAGTCTTGAAAAGGGTTTTTTGATCAGATGATCCATTATTAATTAAGTCGGTATAGTAAGCCGATTTTGAGGAGTCGACAAGTTTATTTACAGCATAACATTGTTGTTTATAGCGATTCCAATCAGCATTCGTCCTTGTTTTATGCCATTTTCTCTCAAGTTGTCTCCGAAAACTACACCGCGGAAAGGAGGGACCGCTCGCAGTCTGAAACAAAAGAATGGACGAACAGACAGATGGACAATCTCGATTGATGGACGGACCAGTGAACTAAAATGGGACGGACAGACAAACAAGAACTAGTGCCAGTCTCCTTGTTTCTGACGCGGCAAGATGTCTGCCTCACAGCTTCGTTTATCTTCGCACATTTTAAAAGAACATTACGGCGAAATAGTTGAAAAAGTTGGCTTGAATATTTTACGTAAAGGATGGACAACTATTGCAAGTATTAAGCAAGATACAGGTTTAGCCATTTCTAAGGTACTGCACACTTTTTACATTGAATTGTAAACTATATTCAGTGTTAAGTAAATTATAGTTTGTCCCCCCCCCCCCGTCCCATTGCAATCCAGAATTTCTCAGAATCAGCAGTGTCTACCTTTGCTTGCAACACGGGCAAGCTGTACAAACAAGCAAGGAGTAGCATGCATTCTATGTAAGGCCTGTTTCAAACGAGGCCTGTCGCGCTTCTCATGTGCCGAACAAATTAAAAACAGATAATCAGCTGAAATGCCTCATTATCTGTTGTTTCTAATGCAATCGGCACATGAGAAACACAACATTTGAAACAGGCCTAAATCTAATGCCGAAAATGATATGAGGCTGTGTTGGTGGGCGTCAATGGAGGTCAAGTTGAATGCCGGCCAGGCTATTGGAAATGCCACGTGAATGACTTTTCATTAGCTATTAGGATATAAACTCAGAAAACACAACTGATAAGCCGACAATCTATAATAATTTGAAGAAAGTACCAGCATAATTTTTCTTAAATACTTTATAGTAGAGGTCGGTGGCCAAGCAACTATGTACCAGGAAAAGGTCTGACCATACTTTTGGTCTTGAGCAGTGCTGGCATGTGATTGGGTGCCAGCAAGCCAAAACTTATGCCGAAGATCTCGGCATGGCCTAGTGGCCCACATGGAATGCATATGGACCAGATTAGAGCAACCCCAATACACACTTTTGGAAAGTATGTCACCTTGGCTATATAGAGCTTTGTTTTTCGAATTTGAGATGCTGCATGGGCTTGACTATTACATGGACAAAAATGCGGCTCCATAGCCCAAGTGACATACTTTCTGGACAGGGTGATTATAGGCATTTTCAAACTAGCCAGAAATACAAATTTATGTAGTTCTATTGTATGTTTGTCAAGCTAGTCATGAACATTTTCTATGTACTAACTCAGGCAAAATATAAATTTATGTGCATGTTTCCTTGCCAAATAAATGAGTCATCACATGTGAAATTGTCTTTACTGAGCAGCTTAGTCTTCATAGATTTAATGTTTTTCCCCACTAGATCAAAAAGTCCATTTGCATATTGATTCAGCATAATTTGGTCAAATTCCAGAAGAATGCAAGAGGACAAGTTACATATAGTGCTCAAATTTCTAACATTCTAACAATTCACCAGTACCCAAAGCTGACATACTGTGCCAAAGTTACATTTGGCGATGCTGCTGAACTTATCATTGAAGAACTGTTGCATCACGGATCGATGACGATGTCCTCCATTGTTGCAAATGTTACGAATCGGTTGCTTGATCCGGCTTTGAGCCAGTCGGAACAAATAGACTATGAACATGTTGCAAACCAGTTTGTAGAACTGGTCAAGGGACATTTGATCAAGCGAAGTCTTGGTGATGAGATTATGGTGATCTCAAAAGGAACGGAAGAAGCAAAGCTTGACGTTGTCCGGGCAAATGATATGGAATACGATTTGCCGTTGGGCTATATAACATCAGGTATTGTCAATAGGGCCGTTGTGGCAATGCAACCAAATGTTAATGACAATGCAACCAAAGGGTTAACAGGGTGCATGGGCAGATAGTCTGATTAATGGGTTAACTAGACACATGGGCAGATAATCCGATTAACCCATGGATCATCAACGCTAGGGACAAAGAAAAAGGGACAAAGAAAAAAATACCTTCGGTTCTGGTTTCTCGACCCTACCTAGCTTTTCAGGGGAGGGGAGAGTATTGGCCATATTATATATGGATGTACAGAAAACTTGAAATATTTTTCAGCATCTGGAAAAAGGAAGGCTGTATCAAATAATGACGGGCCAGCAGCTAAAAAGAGAAAGAGCTCAAAGTATGTTTAATTTGTAAGGATCACAATATAATAAATATATTTTGTTAACTAAGGAAAATTCTTAGAGATTGCAGCAGATCAGTTTAATATTGAAATTTATGTACAATTATTGTACATTGTTATGTTATCATGCAAATTATAATTATATTTAAAAAAATAATCTAATGTATATCTGATCTATCGGCGAATTAATCCATCTATTATATAAAGTTTTTATTTTTATTATGAAAAACTATTATTAGTCTTGTTCCAGCAATTTGTTTCCATCTAAGTACTTTTGCATCTGTAGATATTTATATTTTGTTTTCTAGTGAACAAGTTTCTATTGACTTTAAGGTGAGACTATATTTAAGAATCTGAAAATAATACTGATTAAAATATACATTTATGTGGCTCAGTCGGTTAGAGTGCATTCTTGTACCCAGAGCCCTTCTTACGCGCTGTGCGACGAGGGGCTCTGGCCAAATCCATATTCCGAACTGGCATCTGATTGGCTAGTTCTAACACCGGACATTGTTTTCTTACCATGTTTTTATGGTATCCGGTTATGGATTTGGCCAGAGCCCCTCGTCGCACCGCGCGTAAGAAGGGCTCTGGGTACGAGAATGGTTAGAGTACAGCACTGGAACCGCAGGGCTACAGGTTCGGTTCCTGTCAGAGGGCCTATAGTTCAAGGGCGGATTTTTATTTTTTGCAAAGGAGGGGGTGGAAAATTTCTAGTGGGGTGCAAGCGGCACCACTGAGCAAACTTAGGTTAGGCATTTGGGTTAAAGACTTTCGCACAACGACTTTCGCACGTTCGTGAAACAAAATTTTGGTGGGGTTGAACACTTTATAAGAGGGGTTAGAGAGATTCTGGGTGGGTGGGTAAACCCTTCTTAACCCCCTAGTAAATCCGCCCATGCTATAGTTGCATTTTTTGCAACTGCTTCTGGTTAGGTTTAATAAATGTATAAGATATACCCTCGAAATTTCCATCTACAAAACCCTTCTGCAATGGACGTATTCCCTAATGATCAAAATTTGTTCTCAACAAGTCTAGATACAAATTTCATCACAGCTTGAAAGAGAATCACAAAATTAGTGATATGCCAAAGTTTCGTTGCGAAATGTTGTAAAATGCGGATAATATACCCTTGCGAAGTTTGCCGTTTTTCAGTCATTTTGTGTTACGTACGGGAAATTGATACCGCGCTTTCTGAAAAAAGGTATCAATTTCCCGTGCGTAATACAAAATGACTGAAAAACGGCAAACTTCGCAGGGCTATATTCGCATTTTACAACATTTCGCGACGAAACCTTGGAATATTACTAATTTTGCGATGCTCTTCCAAGCTTTGATGAAATTTTTGTCTAGACTTGTCTAGATCAAAATTTTGTTTACTAGGCAATAGGCCATTAATTCTATCGAATGAGATGGTTAAAATCCTAGTGATATATAGTGCACCCAGGACCTTCTGACGCGCGGTTCCCAACGTCTAACACCTGTGGAATAGAAGTCCACAGATTGGAGCTTGAATGTGTTATGTACGACTGTTCATCCAATCATTAATCAGAGTTGTCGTTACTGTAGGATGCTGACATGTTATGGAAAGTGAATATTCTTCAGTTTTATCATCATTTAGTCAACGAGGTTGGTATAGTGCTTTAATACTTTGCTTCGAATTCTCAGAGGTATCCATGACATGCATTGCTGAAGATTGGGAACGTACTGCCACTCAATGGGTTAACTGTCTGTCACGTGTCTTGCATTGCTGCCTAAAGCACCCTGCTTTGTTATTTTACTGTGTCTAACGTCAGACGATTTTACTCGTCAAGGGGAGAGTATTGGCACTATATACCTAACTACTGACAGACCATCTTAGAATTATGTTGAATTGCACTTCACTGCAAATGGTTTCTATTTTCAGTTGATCGAAAATGCTGTTAGGAACAGATTGGACGAGGTGGGTATTTCAGATGCGTGGAAAAATGTGACACAAGAGTTAAGTAAGAGTACGTAAAATCTTAGGGGTCGGTTGTGAGGAGGTTCGCTGCTAAAACAAAACGAGCTTAATTTAACGACTGTAAATTTTCGATTTTATTGAATTTCGAAATGACCATTTCCTATATTGTTTGAAATTGTCGGTTTGCGCGGTTTTCCTCCCTATTAAAAACAGGCGAAAAAATCCTGCAAGCATGACTGGACGGACGCTATAATATGATGACCTCATCAAACGCAGTATATTATTTCATTTTTAGTTTGCGGCAGAAATTGTGAAAGTCATGTTAAAATTAACCATCTTAACACGAGATGGTTTTTCTCCGCAAACAAAGCCTGTCTCAGTTTACGAAGTAAGTAATATACGTTTATTATAGGATTTGCTATTTTACTGCCACAGGCCCAATAAACATGGACACATGGTAATGATGTCTAATGCACATTTTATTCAATGACACCGAAAGCTTTGGCTGGGATGCAACTATACCTGAAGAATACAAGGAGAAATTTGACGTTTCGCGCAGTGTTTTAATAGATAGTTTAAGCTTCGCGTTATACGTCAAACGGCAAACGCCAGGGAAAGAAAAATTTTACGGTATCAGGCAATAAAGAGTAAACGAACTCGCTGTTTTAAAACAGAAATACATATTTTTTATAATTATTCTTTCAATGCAAGAAAGAAAATATGAAACGAAAACGTTCAACGAAAATTTTGCCAAGAAAGTTCGAACCTGACGTTTGCTGTTCCCGGAAACGTGATGCTTAAACTCGCTAATCACCAACTGTCACCAACTTCCCGCGACAAAGGGCCTTCGCCCGAGACGTCGAAATTCTCCTTGTATTTTTCAGGTAGTTGCATACCTACCAACGAAAGCTTTGTTATTATTGGCACTACCTACACTGGCACAGACAGTTCAATTTTACAGTCGATTTCACGAAACTTTTGACCACAAATTTTCCGAACTTCGTTGCGAAGTTCACAAGATTGTTGCGAAGTTCAAAAGTTCATAATGAGATTCGTAAACCAGTTCGTAAACTACGCATTTGATTTGCTTCTTTTACTTCACGGACCTATCAGGGACGTTGTTTACAAATTGGCTTGTGAATTCCAATATGATCTTCCGAACTTCGCAACGAACTTGCGAACTTCGCAACGAAGTTCGGAACATTTGTGGTCAAAGTTTCGTGAAATCGACTGTAATGGTCTTTATGTCTTCGACCCGCATAAAAATTAGGGCAAAGCGTAACAAACATTGGGACAGTGGCGAAGCCAGCCCGACAATTTGGTCATGCTATGCAAATATTTCCGTGTTCATAGTCCGTGAGAACAATCGTTTTCTAAAGAATTGAATAATGATAATGATTTAAGATTTGCTCAGCATGACCAAATTGTCGGGCACTGCATTGGGAACCGTGCAGAGATATGAAAAGTTTGTTTCATATTATTGTTAGCAGAGTACATTAAAAACTACACACTGCAGAGTACAATGAAAAATTTGTCTAGAGCGGGATTTGAACTCTTCGGGTATCTAGACCGCCACTCTACCATTGAGCTATCGAATCAACGGGGATTGGTAGCGAGTCTTATCCAATTTACAGTAAGTGCACGAAATATTTTCGTGACGACTTAATGCTTATCTTAACGCGTAGTTTTTCAAATGTATTTCAGAAGCATCCTCAGAGAGATGAAAAATAATATATTTTCAAGTTTATTTTGACACTGCAGCTAGAGTACACAACGAAAAATTCGTTCTCTCCGTCTCGTGTGGGATTCCAAGTTCTAGACTGGCGTTCTATCCATTGATTTGTCGTACTAATTAATATAAACCATTTTATATTTTCAGATAGACGAGAGATTATCTGATAGTTCAGAAATTGATAGTGATGAAATAGCACAGTATCTCAATCTACTTCAAGATGACGAGGTATTAGGCAAACATTACACAATTTGTCAGCAATATGTGTTCTCAATAGGATCGTAGCAAACTTGTCAACAACTTGTAATAATGTTGTTAGTTTGTCAAGTTACCACATGCAACATTGTCTATAGAGGTTCATAGTAATCATTAATGATTTCATGATATCCTAATGTCTTCTATTCGGTCCTTGAGTTTCCTAATATATAGTATAGCTTTGAAAGTCCATGAATGTTACTCTTTCAGACCTGTAGGTACCGTGCAACTTGTCAACAACCTGGGAACAAGCAGTTTTTAATATTTTTTTAAGGTTGGTTTTGTTTCAAAAGTTGGTGAAAATTCTGGAGGGCTGTACGTTGTCAGTATCCTTTTATTCCAAATACAGTTAAATTGTGACTGCTCGACAGGGGCGCCGAAATGAGTCGTGGGGCCGGAACCCCTATGTATTTTAAACCAACAGAAACTGTGTTGGAGTATGCAGTCTTGCAAAATGACAAAGGTTCAAACGTTAAAGGAAGGTCCGGCGTTCAATTGTAATCCCCTCTGTCTCATGCTGGGACTTCCTATCATGTAATTCATGTTAGAATTCCAGAATCCCCTCTGTGGCGCTGCTGGTAGTGCACACGCATTCACAAACATATGCGGGGGTTTTCTTTAACCATCGTTGAAGATATCAAAAAGTCAATGGAAGCTATCTGCGTTCAAACTATTGAATCTGTTGTCCGGGAAAGGTAGGTCTGCATCTCTCTGATCTCAGACATACTAGGTGGTTTGGATCTCTGAGGATCTATGCTAAGTGGGTTTGCTTGGTGGATCTGAGGGTCTATCTGGGTGGGTTGGGTCCAACCAAAATTACGGTTTATGCGTGTGTAAAATTTCATTTAAATGCCCAACAGTATTCGGTTCACTGTCTTGTAACTACAGCGAATACATGAAAATCATGTTATGTTTGTAATTTAATTAGGTGCGGTTCAAAGTCAATGCGAATTTTCAAGTTATTGTTGCTAAAGCAACATTTGGAGCAAAAACAAGTATGTAGATGATTTAAATTTTGTAGATTAACGTATAGTGGATTGACATTAGCTAACAACCAACCTATTGAATGACTGTAAACATTGTATTTCCAAGATGTAAAGCAGGGTATATACAACCAATCAACAACTAGTCAAGATATGATATGGAAGCATTTGTAATGAACTACCATTCGTTACGATGATTTCACTATGCATAGTTTAAAATTTGGCTCATTAATACCTCACCTGATGTCACTGAAGAACGATTGCTTTACATTACCATGAATTCGTTGTCTTCAAATATATCGCATCGCACACATATTTGTGTGAACATGAACAAACTAATGTTTGTTCCTATTTTATAGGTAGAGGATCTCATTATGGTACCAGCAAAAGAGGCAAAGGAATTGTTATATAACTTGTTGTCTGAAAAGTTCATAAATCTGCAGGTAAAAATACTACCATATATTCATGGGCGTTTAGGGCCCAATTCATATTTGTGATATTGGCATTCTGTATGTCACGTTTGCTGTGAAAAATATGTCATAGGAAAGAGAGAAATTGTATGAAAACTTTTACGATTTTCATAGGGCCTGAACACCATCTTGGCTTCTCTTTTCTCATAGGCCGAATGACTGAAGTTCTGACTCAAGATATGGCAATTTTTCTGTGTGATTTCCGGTTGTCTTAAGTCCTAACTGCTACCAATTCAGGATACCCCATGACAATCGTGCCCATTATTCATACTGTAATAGTGTGTAATCCTTTACCCAAGTCTTTCCTGTTGTTCTAGGAAGTGCCTCGTGCGACCGATTACGCTCCATCGAGAACATTTTATTTATTTTCTGTGAATATATCTCAAGTGTGTCGAATGCTGTTGGATAGGAGTTATAAGGTATTGTTTAAGATCTGATTATAGGTATATTCACTATACGTATTTTCAGCCACTGACGACGTGGTCTATTTTCAGACTCTGAGTAATTTGATATGTCGACGTCATCATGAGACAGAAGAACAAAGGTAAGGGAATTCACTATTCAGTAGCAGCGACAGCAGCAGTATCAGTGGTAGCAGTGGTAGTAGCAGCAGTAGTAGCAGCAGCAGTAGTAGCAGCAGTAGCAGCAGCAGCAACAGTAGCAGCAGTAGCAGTGGTATAGCAGCAGTGGTATAACAGCAGCAACAGCAGCAGCAATAGTAGCAGCAGCAGCAGTAGCAGTGGTAGTAGTAGCAGCAGTGGTAGTAGTAGTAGCAGCAGTGGTAGTAGTAGCAGCAGTGGTAGTAGTGGCAGCAACAGTAGTGGTAGCAACAGTAGTGGTAGCAACAGCGGCAGTAGTAGAAGTAGCAGCGGTAGTAGAAGTAGCAGCGGTAGTAGTAGCAGCAACAGCAGTAGGAGCAGTACCAGTGGTAGTAGTAGCAACAGCAGGCAGTAGTAGCAGCAGCAGCAGTAGTAGGTGCAGTAGTAGCAGTAGTAGCAGCAGTAGCAAGAACAATAGTAGTGATAGCAGTAGCAATAGTGATAGTAGCAGCAGCAGCAGCAGCAGCAGTAGTAACAGCAGCATCAGCAGCAGTAGTAGCAGCAGCAGTGGTAGCAGCAGCAGTAGCAGCAGTAGCAGCAGTAGTAGCAGCAGTAGTGGTAGTAGTAGCAGCAGTAGTGGTAGTAGTAGCAGTGGTAGCAGCAGCAGTAGTAGCAGCAGCAGTGGTAGTAGTAGCAGTAGTAGTGGTAGTAGTAGCAGTGGTAGCAGCAGCAGTAGTAGCAGCAGCAGTAGCAGCAGTGGTAGTAGTAGCAGTAGTAGCAGCAGCAGTAGCAGCAGTGGTAGTAGTAGCAGTGATAGCAGCAACAGTAGTAGCAGCAGCAACAGTAGTAATTTGATTTATAATTTTAGTGAAAGTAATTTATAAACTAAGTGATCTTCCAGTCAATAAAGCAAGCATTCATCTAGTAACCAGATATGGATAATACGGTGGATAGATGTTATTTTAATGTGCATTTTATAGGCGTTTGGTAGAAAAGTCTGAGAAAATCAACGCGGCGATTTTGGCGTTAAAAAGCCAAGGCATGGATAATGATTCACCGGCAGTTCAGGAAATGGAAGAAATGATGACAGACCAAGAAAAACAACAACTTACAAAACTTAAAACTGTTTTATCCAAGTGAGTGTTTTGCTTCGTTCGACCAAACTTACAGTGTACCCACATGGAAACCGGACGAACCGGACGCAAATCGACGCTAGAGCACTCATGATCTCCCATAAACATTGAGCTGGTTCAGATTTTGATAAGAGTTGATGAGTTATTGCTCATTGGATTGGTAATATCCAGCCGACTCTCGTGTGACTGTTTGACCAGGGGCATGGAAGTTGGGAAAACTCTCATTGGTGTAAACTCTCGCTTGCCATGCTTCATCAACTCTTGTCCTCGTTTAATCGGCGCTTTAAGTTGCGTGAGAGTTGGCTAGATATTACCGCACGCGTACATCACAATTTAAACCAGCTCATAGTTGATGGGAGTGCATGAGAGTTACCAAAATGGAGTGAGAGTTGGAACTCTCGTCTTTGTTTGGCTAAGTTACGGTAGCTGTTCTCGAATTCCACCAGTTCCATGTGTCCCTACACTTTGTAAGAAAGTTTTTTCTGTAAAATTGAATCAGTGATAACCATTCATCTCTGTGTCAAGTACCCTTTTAATGCAATGTTTCGAAAGAAACTTTGTAGTAATGTAATGAAGGTAAAATTGGATGACGTACAGTCATAATTCATAAATACACTGATACATTTGTACAGTACTGAATAGTAGCTTTACCACTGGTTAACTCTTTTGTCTATAGATTAGAACGAAGTGAATTACAAGTTGGTGATACAGTATTGACTTTTACACAATTCCTGGCTCTAAACAGTTGAGTGTTATTACACTAACATACAGTTATATTTCCTTGAAATTTGTATATAATATTTATATATACGTAGATATGAAATACTGTAATTATCGATAGAATCGAGTTCTGCCGTCTTCTCTTAAGTTTTGGTAGAACATTCGCTATTTTCTTTCCAAGCACTATGACCATCGTCATAAACTTCCTAGAAAACACACAAGCATTTTTATTTATTTCTTTGCTGGTTGATACATTAAATACTCAAAAAATAAGGAAACCATGACTAGTAAAATAAGCCAATCGAAATTGCTTGTTATTGAATCTCTTGTTGTTGAGTCTTATAAAATAAGCCAATCGAAATTGCTTGTTATCTTCGCCTGGCCCAATAAATTGCACTTTGGGTACCTTTTTCCATATTGGCACAGTAGCTTTAAGTGTGTCGATACAATACTGAACTGCTTCCAAAGAATCTTTGCGATGCACAGATGAGATAGCTATGACCACACTCGCTTCAGATATTGGAACCAGTCTGTAATTGGGGGTACAAATCAATGAGAAATATAATCTTCATGACAAAGTACCCATATAGTATGGTACATCTCTTAGACTACCGGTACCTTAGATACGCACAAAAGAGAAGACAACACACATATTACATGCATAAATATATGCTTACCCAATTCTGTGAATTATTGCAATTTTCACAACATTCCATTTCTTTCGTATATCCCGACATATTTTTGCAAGCTCCTTTTCTGCCATTGGCACATATGCTTCATACTCTAATTTTATAACTCTCTTGCCTTTAAATGAATCTCTTGTCGTGCCTGTAATGTTAATGAAGCGAACTGGATATAGTATTGCACATTTGCACAGAAATCACCTAAAGCCATGGTCCAACGAGAATGAGAGTTGGTTTCTTAGTTGATGATCGAGTTTTCGCTCTGCGAGCGGTAACATCCAGTCGACTCTTGTTCAACTCCTGTTCTCGTTTGATTCTGGTGGTAGTGAGTTGGTTACTGTAGTTTGTGTGGCAGGCTCTCATTGAAGTGGAAAAGACAAATTTTAATGGAGACTTTCCGAAACCCTGGCTTTCATGACTAAACACCTAAGTATACATAATGGCTTGTTAAAATTGACCAATAGAACTCAGCGTAAACATGTCAATGAAGATCAAGAAATGTAGTAATGTATTCACGTTGGGACTGTTCACATGAGTCGGGCCAGCACGGCTAGCCGGGATGAATAGCTAGTATTGTGTCACGAAAACTTTTTCTTGACCATGAAAGAACTTTATCTGAACTAAGCTCATTCAAAGTTGAAACGTCGTTTTGGCTGTTTATCAAAGCCGTGATAAGAGCTTTATTGAACAAATAATCCCGGTTAACCAGTCCACATGAACAGCTCCTAATCTATATTTGTGGGGCCCCTGGCCAGGAGGGGCACTGAAAGGTGTCAAAAGATGTGCAACCAGAAAATCTGTCGTGCTGTGTTGTATTTACCTACAAATATTGAAGTAGCGCCTGCTGATGGACTGCCGACCAAAGAAGACGTCTCCTCAATGGAGATCGCATTCTCAGTTATCTTGATAAAATCTGACTCCATGCTACAGTCTGACAGTTCAGCGTCCACTCAGAAATGATATTACAACACTTCAACCTCCGCTTAGAGGTGGGATGACAGCTATTTCATCAGCGTTTTTCAAGTTCACTGTTTCCTCAAGATCTATGTATGTCTCATTCAGAGCAAGCATCAGACATGATGAAAGTGGTTGCAGACTGCAAAGGAAATCCAGAATGGTAAAAAAATTAATAACCCGGCATTGAGCACCACCAGCGTTCTCCCCTTGACGAGTAAAATTGTCTGGCATTAGACAGAGTAAAATGTAAAGTAGGGCACATTGCACTTAACTCATTGAGTGGTAGCATTCTCTCCTTGATGAGTAAAATCATCTGGCATTAGAGAGGCATTAGAAAGTATGGAGCATTAGGGTGCAATGCAACTTAATGCGTTAACTGGACATACATGGGCCAGGTATTAGACGGAGTAAAATAATCAGGAATGGATTTACTGGAGGTGTGCACCCCCCCCTAGCCCTGGCCAGGGGGGGTATGGGGGGGGTGTGCTATTTTTCATGATAAAGCAAAAATTATCAGAGACAAAATACAGTAATTTGAGTAATAACATGATGATAAGCGAACTGTGAACAACAATTACAATTCAAATACAGTAGTCAAGCAAGACTTTGCAGCAGTGAAGTAAGTTGACGGGCGGGCGGCACACATGACCGACACAACTTGGCACTAGAGCTGGCAGAGCACCCACCAGATCATGCTGGATCCATCCCTGAAAATAATGAAGCAGGGTACAATGCAATCTAATGGATTAAACAGGTTGGGGTTAAATAGATTATGATTTGGGCAGGCTATGCAGGCAAATTTGCCATTCCTGTAATTAGGCGTGCACAAAGACGGCTGTCATGAATATAGGAATCATAGCGCGTTTAAAGGACTCATTGTGTTGTGTAGATGGCAAGACATGATTAGTCGTATACAATTTTCATCCTGGTGTATGTAACAGAAATATAAACACATGTAAAGAAATTGCACCATAAACTAAATGAATAGCAATTGTGGAGTTAGCAGTAATTTTCATACACCAGAATGGTAAATGTATACGGCTAACTGCATCGCCCTTATAAAACAATTACCTTGGCCAGGTACAAAGAATTTCTTCAAGAATCAAACGACCTTTGGCTTGGCTTGGCAAGTTGAGCGAACCTTGACCTGTGTTCGCAAGTTCTTTGGCCTTGGCAAATAGCAAAATAGTCACCTAAAAATCAAACGTACATTCAGTCATTCCCAAATTTCAAAATAAAGAAACTGGAGTATTTCGATCATTGGATCGTGACCATTATGCCAAGTTTCATGCGAAGTACCCATTCAGAGAAAAATAAATACCTCGACTTTTCCAGAAATTCCAATTTCGTCCATAAATTTCTGCCGAAAAAGTTACAAAAATATAAACATTGTGCATTTGTTGCAAAATGACTTCCGGTGTGAACGTTCGATCCAGTCTCGCAGATTTCTCGCGCGCCAAAAATTTGGCACCAAATTTAAAAATAAAAGAATCGAAATTTTAGCTGTCAATTTTTTGTTTATTCGGAGTTCTCTGTCCAATTTTGAAAGTAACACGTTATGCGCGGGACAAGAAGATTCTGCAAACTTGATGTAAAGTGTTTGAAAACTCGAAAGAAAGCGTGAATTTCAACAAAATATGACAAATCATTGGTCGACCATATAAACAAACTGATGGATAAATTGATACAAGTAGATACATTTCGAGGTACACATTAATACATTTTGATATTCAATAGTTTTAAAGTAAAATAATTCTGTGGTCATGTGTACATAGCCGGTTGCAGACAAGCAAGTTTTTAATGAAAATTTTTCATAACATGGAAAGCCCGAATATGCCGGCAAGTTTATATATTTTGACTCTTTGCTGTAGTCTGGACTGTAGAGCACAGCAATTATCAGACTGAATTTAATACATTCTTTCGTGTATACGTGTAAAATCAGGCCACGAAAAGCAGTACTCCTTCATGTCGTTATGACTTATGAGCGCTTTAAGCGAGACAAAATAGCGGCCCATTGATGGCTATGTGTGCAGTATGCCCTGCCAGCCCTGGTCACAGAATAAAGAGGTCCTTATTCCGGGTCCCCCCTGATCTATATACAGGGAGTGTTGAGTTTGAGGTGGCACTTCCCTTGTGATTGCTGCCGCAGCGAGCGAGCCTGAAGCGAGCGAGCAAGGCAGCAGATCCTAATTTTGTTTTGTGGGTCGAAATCAAAATTTTCTATTTGGCGCATTGCATGACGGTACCAGTGAATTTTAACCGTGGTGCAGCGCGGTCAGGCAAACAGGCAATGTGATCATGTTTCATCTTTGGTCTTCTTTTATGGAAAGCCATAGCTGGCTTAAAGTGATCAAACGGCATTTTGTTGGGTGCTTTTAGCATTATACGGCGGTGCTTTTGGCATTATACACGGTGCTTTCGCCATTACACGCGGTGGTTCCAGTATTATACGCGGTGCTTTCACCATTTATATACGCGATGCTTTTGCAATTATACGCAGTGGTTCGAGCACTATATGCGGTGCTTTTAATATACGCGATGCTAGCTTTCATTCAACATTATTTCCATATTCTTTCCATGACATGTGATATGATTTAACGATTGCTTAAAGCCGGGTTACAGTCCGTACTGTAAACAAACGCTTTGTTTACATTTTGAACTGCTATATTTCTTAAAATATTATGAACTGTCAGAAAATTTAACACTATTTTGGTTCGCTATACTTTTAAATAAGTATGAGCTAGTGTTTATGTTCAGAAATATACAAAACATGCGAAATTTGCACAATTTTGAAATCCAGTAGTCTACCTTTGTTATGAGCAGAACCGATGCGCAGAACGGACTGTAACCCGGCTTTAAATTTTGTATGTGCATGGTTGGCAAATGCTTTTTGCCTATGGTCTGCAAGGAAAATGACATGCTTTTCTGTGTATATACATGTAAATGAATATAACGCAGCGAATGCGCCAAACAGTATAAACGCGGCTGAAATACGATATTAAAATCTTAAATGTACCGTATGATTTAATTATGTTTTAGGATTTACAAATGCTTTGTCATTTGTATTTATACTTGTACTGCATCACAAGGCAGTACGTACTGTAAGTGAAAAAACTCCGCATGTGAGATTGTCTTGTATATATTTTTGCTCTCTTTGATAAACACTATTAAACACGCAAATTTAATTAGTGAGACGCAATGTTAAATGTCACCTGCATGTCATTGTCATTGCCCTTTAACCCCTGGTCTAATTTGCCGCTTTTGAAAATGTTGATCATGACGAACCGCACTGCCTTAATTAAATGCAAACTTTGTGTTTTAAAAACGGCTAGGATAAAACGCGGATACGGACGGACGGGTGAATGACGGACGGACCGGACGGGTGACATATATATATGTTGTTATATAGTCTGCGCGCAGGGTAGTTAGTGCCTTACGTCTTCGCTGGAATAATTTTGTATGTACCGAGAAATCAATATTCCGAGTATATAAATATATAAACTGGGATGTCACACTGATAGCTTGTTTACATTTCCTGGAGCATCATGAAATCTTATGTTTAACCACGGTGGTTTAACCCATTAGCTGGCAATGCGCCCTTCCCTTGTCGAGCGCCAGAAGATTTTACTCGTCAGTGGTATAGGGTACTGCCAGTAAATGGGTTAACAAACCTATCTGCCAATGGCTCTTGTTAATTCATCAGCACAATAATGACCCCTACTTTAGTATTTACCCTGTCCAACGCCAGACGATTTTTAATACTCAGTCAGTGGTAGGGTACTGTCAATAAATGGGTTAACAAGGATAACAATAATTAGCCTGCATGGCAGGCGGTATTTCCCAGGCTTGCCCAATTTTAGGAACCGCCTGCCATGCAGGCTAAACAATAATAGGATGTTTCTGAAGGACTCGTTGAACACCCTGTAGTTTGTCTTTTGCTGTCAAAGGCAGCATTACTGCCCTGTGGGTAACCTAGTAGTAAGTAATTCATGTATGTTAATTTACACAAACTTTAGCTTTGATTTTCTTGACTTAGACAATGTATATTTTTAAAATTTCTTCGTTTTTTAAGCCATCTCCGGCAAATAAGCGATCCTGAACGTTCTCGCTTGTAGTTGTACGTGATGTACGGCTAACTACAAATTGAAATACAAACGATTTGCGAGCGCGCTTCAACATTACGTAATTAGTAATTTAGCGCGACATGACACGTCGTTGATTTAATGACGTAACACACACGGCTGTTCGTTCGATTCATATTTCCTGAGAAAATCCAGGAAAACTCGACTCCTGCCGTCTGGCAAATAAACAACGTCTCTTTGGCTAATACGTCTGTCTGCCCACATCAGGAAGAAGTATTTTACAACGGACTGCCGATGGCAAACTCTACATCGAGATGAATGTAACAATTATGAGGTCTTGTTAAAGAGCAACGCGAGAATAATAAAACTTGATTGCTATCTTAATTCAAGTATGGAGAAGCGTTTGCCTTTTGGATCGAAGACTTTTTTTAAAGAATATGAGAACATTTAACAAGCTTTTATGTAACTAAGTCAGGACAACGTTCTAAATCAACGTCTTAAATCACTATTTTAAAGTTGCGTTTATAATATGTATGCGAAGAGACGATTTTAATAACAATTCCGCGCTAATGAGCACTGTCGAAAACGGGAAAACACGTTCGAGTACGATATTCCAAGTGGAGAATGAAACGGAAGCTGTATCGAGATTGCCGCCCGAATATCTGGGGATACCTCTTGTAGACCACGACTCGCCCGGAAATGAGGTGGGGTTATTTTAGCTTGAATTCGAAACGGTTCTCTAATATATGCCGCGATCTAACGAGATCAAGACAGGGTGAGACTGCATATCGCTTGTGTCTGATTGCTAGCCTGCGCGGAGCCTGAATTTGTTTCGAAATTTCCGCTTTCAAAATTTTGGGCTGAGAACAGGCTATTGATGGCGAACTTTCGTCGACTTTGAGCTAGTTCAAATTTTGATGAAAGTTGATAATAGTTTCCGCAACGCGCGCGGTAATATCCAGTCAACTCTCATGCGACTCTTGTTCTCGTTTGACCGCGGGGCACAAGAGTTGCATTGAGCAAACTCTGATGCAAACTCTCGTCTTACGCGCAAAAACTCTTATCAACTCTCACCAAATGGTCCGAACCAGCTCAAAGTTGATATCTGTCATTTGAGACATGAATCTTGGGAATTAGTGCTTGTCCGGCCAATTGATTTTCAAAAGTTTTCTTGCTGCGTTAAGCCATAGAAACTAAAGTTATACGTGTCATGATAATTTTAACCGTAATTTGCTGATTGTAGAACTGGTATAGATATATACTCAGTTTTAGATGCATTGCCATTGCAGAGCCTAACCGAAATACATGTGCTAATTTTCAAAAAAAAAATTGAAAGTCCGAGAAAAACTGATAAATGTCCGATCAAATTTTTTCTTGTAAGCCTGTGAAAATTCATATATTATCGAGGAATATTTTATGTTCAAGACAATAATACGTGAATGCATGTATATGGATTCACGTATATCAACAATATCTTTTAACAACAGACAAGTTAAAATAACTTACTTACATTTGTACGAGTCTTTTTCAGTGCAAAGACTAATTAATTTCTGCAGTGACAAGGATAATAAGTAATATGATTAGCCTTGCGTTGTTTTAAATTTAACTTTAATTTCTTCTTCAATCGAAAATGAATTTTAATTGAAAGCTGTCTAGACGTGTTAAACATACAAGATATCTTCCATGCAAAGCCCCCTTTGTTCAGCAGGTTTTCCTTGAGAAAATTTCTCTCAAATGCTAAAAAGTTTTTTTTGACAAGGAGCTTTGTTTAAAAGCTAGTTATGCTAGCTTTTGTACAAGGAGAATTTGATCTTTGAGCAATCATAATCCCATTAAATCTCGTTATTTTGAAATTCGCTTTTGGAGTACATGATGTCGTCGACAATTTTAAATTTTCATGGGGAAAACTTATTTATCATGACTAATTATACTGCGCCAAGATGCACTGACCGAATTATGTTTTTCATTGAACTATATTTTCGTACAGCATTTCAGTCATTGACACTGATAAAATTGCATTGCTCACATCCAATGGGAACATTTGCAAAATCTTTCTTGTATATCAATTCTCGCAATCATATCTTTTCAGACTTTCGTGGTAATTGCAAGAAGATTTGGAAAACAGATTGTGTATCGTTTCAACAAGCAGAAAAGTCTTTATTTATTTTCACCACGAAGCTCCCTGAGAAAGTTCGTCATATTTCTTACAACCAACCAGTATCCTTTTTAATTTCACGTGGTTTTAATCTTTGAACTCATATGCCCATTTAGGTTGTTTGCTGTATAACAAGGGGCAGAGACGTGAAGCCGGTTGATTTTTTCACCATTGTGTGAAAGTGTCCTAAAAGCTGTTAAAAATCTGTTAAAAATTTCGTGTCGATTTGGGGGCTTGGCCTCCCAATATTTTTGCAGTTTGCATACCTGAAAAGTTCTTTGCAACTGTAGGATTGAATTGTTGAAATGATGGGTTCACAGTAATCTGTGCTTGATTACTGTGATCCTGTATACCGTTAAAATAATTTATGTGGTTCCAACATGAAATAGCTTTCATTGGAATATTTTATTTTAACTGCGATATTAAGTCCTTTCTTCAAAAAACACCAACTGAAGAATTTCTAGAACCAGAAATAAATACTGGAACATTCCATGTTTATTATCTCCCCCACCCCTTGTCCTCACACGTCTAGTCACCCCCTCTCCCCTTCGAGACCCCCTTGTTATCGTTTCATGATCAGTTGCGGAGTCTATGGTGTTCTGTGCATGCACACGCTTTTGTCTTGTGTGATGTTATCACCAACTACCACACTCGATTTAGGAGAAGAAGAAGAGCGGTGTGAATTTTTGGTTTTCTACCACTTTGCTTCTTTAACTTGTGACAAAAAGATATTTCGAGCTTTTCATATTGCTGTTGATCATCGCCAACTGTATCTTACTGGCATTCAAAGATCAACCCGAGCAAGTCGAGTATGTAATATTAACCGGAAATTGAAGCTCTGCTCTCCAAGCCAGAACTTTCAATTTACTGTCATTGAGGGTGCCAGTAGCGTCAGCTGATAGCTCCGACACTTCATTCGTTCCACAAGTCGTTTTGTTTTTGCATAAAAAGATTTTACCTGCTCTCCAAGTGCAATAGAAAACTGGTCAATATTCATTGGATTTTTAAGCTTTTCAACGTTAAAGGTTGCTGTTTGCGGAATAAATCAATTAAAAAGTGTTAAACAAAAGGCCTTTTATATTATACGTTTTGCAGAACTACCTCTTTTGTTCGTTTATGCAAGGGCGTCGCTAGACTACAGGTGTGTGTGGGGGGGGGGGGGGAACACCCCCACTCGTAAGTTAGTCGGCAAATTGTCCCAGTCGTCAATACATGAATTGGATAAGAATGAAGAACGAAAAGAAAAATATTATGTCCAGGAAACATTTTTACAGCCGGAAAATTTGTGTTCACGTTGCAGAAATGACTCCGCAAATTTCACTTACCCCTCCCCCCGCCCCACCCAAGAAAATAGGTCTAGTGTTCCACCTGCTATACATAGTTTTTCCATATATTTTACTATTCCATAGGTATGTATTTGCAGCATTATACACGATGGAAATGATTTTGAAGATTATTGGAAAAGGATTTTGTCTTCATAAGTTTGCATATCTTCGTGATCCTTGGAACTGGTTGGATTTTGTTGTCGTTATTTTAGGGTAGGTTTACCTACGACGGTCCCTATATACTGTAGAGTAGGGGACATAAATGTTCTCCAATATTTGCGCAGCAGAATGAAAGAGCAGCATGTTGGGGCCAAGTAAGGAAATAGTGTAGTCTCAATGTTTCCCGAGACGAAGTCGAGTGATACAGTAGTATATGTTCTTATGATTATATTTGTTTCAGATACCTCACGATGGCACCAAGTGTTGCTAACCTTTCTGGAATAAGAACATTTCGGGTGTTGAGAGCTTTGAGAACAATATCTGTTATTGAAGGTTCGTATTTTTCATCTGGCTGTGTGTTTGTGTATTTTCAGTACCTGCGAGTCTATCTTTTTGTTGGCGATTGATTGTTTGATTTGTAATACGTTCATTTATTAGTCAGCGTATATATTAATTTATTTTTGACCAATAAATTGATTGATTAATAATTATTGATTGAGAAACTTAATTAATTAACTGAATAATTGGTTGATTTAATGATACATAAATTTATTTAATCGATAGGATTAACTAATTGATTGATTCACTGATCACATATGTGAAATTTTCCTATATTGATTGATTTACCGTTAAATTTAATAACTTATTATTGATTTAATTAATTAATTGATTGACTAATTGGTTGGTTGGTTGAATAATATATCGATTGATTGGGTGAATTAATTACTTAATTAATTGGACGATTGATTAATTAGATATACATACATACATATACATATACATACATAAAAATTTATTTAAACACGTTCTTAGCCCTAACATCTTTTGATGGTTTCCATAGGGGACGTGTAAGAATAAGACTAATATATAATATACATAATACAAACTATTTACATGATTATTATTTAACTTTAACCTGCCGGAATATCCTTTGAATTCTAGGTTTGCGAACAATGGTGAATGCTTTCCTGAGATCAATGCGAATGTTGACAGACGTACTCGCGTTGTCCTTATTTTTCATATCAATATTCGCGTTGGTGGGAATGCAATTATTTGTTGGAGTGCTGAGGAACAAGTGTGTGTTAGATCCTGATGTAAATGTGACGGATTTTGATGAATTCATCGCGAATGAAAGTAAGTTGTCGCCCACCTTTTCTTTCTGGTGTGATATACCGCAAACTGTCCAATTTCGTATTGTTTCGCAGGGATGCAGGTTCGATTAAAAACAAAACAGAAAAGACCTATTAAATTTATATATAGTTAATTAATTTGATTGATTTTTTCAGGTAATTGGTTATACATCAATGGTGATCCAGTTGTTTGTGGAAATAGCTCAACTGCTAGGTATTTGCATGTTGAATAATATATTGAAATTTGAATAGAATAAAGTAATAAACTAAACACTGACGACGTTTTGGCCCTCGGATTTTTCAAACTGTTATTTTTTTAACTGTTGTTTTTTTTTGTGTTATATTGTAAGCTCTTAAACCAAGTTAAATTCATCACGTATTTTACAATAAAACTATCTAACTTATATAGGTCATGTCCATCAAACTACATATGTTTTCCTGATGTCGGAGACAATCCTAATCATGGTTATACGAGCTTCGATACCTTTCCCTGGGCGTTGTTGTGCACCATCCAACTCGTGACTGCAGATTACTGGGAAAATGTTTATGAACATGTACGTATATACTTTTCTAACTTGATTAAACACTGATGTTTTGTTTGCAAACCGAGGAGGGTTTACTGTGGAAAAAACCGCTGTTGAGAAAAGCAATAGAGTCTTAAATTGCTGTTTGGAATTTAACAGAACAGTATACATTTGAAAAAGCTTTGATTATCTTCCCCGTCTCTTGCAGATTATCGCATCCAATGGCTTCTGGTCTGTGTTTTATTTCCTCATGGTTATATTTTTTGGTTCTTTCTACATTCTCAATCTCATTCTGGCCGTGGTGGCATTATCGTATCAACAAGAACTGGCTAATTTGAAAAATATGGTAAAACTCCATCAGAACATATTCAACTTTCTTTAATATAAAACTCAATCAGAACATATTCATCTTAAACTTTCTTTTTAGTTCAGTGGACATTTTAGAACTGTGCACTTTTTTTCTCAAAATCTTGTACACCAGGTCAAAAATACTATAAGGCGTGGTTCACACTAGCAATTTTGTGAAGTAAAATTATTTTTCTATTTATTGGGGATTCACATCCGTAGCTTTGCAGCTTTTCAATAATTCCAAGGCTGCTTTCTGATACGTTCATAATAGTTATTTTTTCAAAACCCATTCGCAGGCTAAAACCCATAGAGAGGCCTGCGGAGGAGGCTACGTTCATACATAACCTTTTCACCTCCAATTTATTTTCTAGGAAGCTGGGCACAACCATCTGAAGGCAACATCTTCCTCTTATTCGCTTCACCTTTCTTTTAAACCTCAAAAACTATTCCCTACGAAACCTTCAAAACCCACATCGAACTGGCCTTTCGTGCTACGTCGCTATACCAAAACCTCTCCGTATTTCGATAACCCAGCTCCCTCCCCGGGGCCGTATTACCCCTCGTCACCGGATGATAAAACCCTACCGGTACAGAGCCCCCTCACCTTAGACAAAGTCACACCGTACACGTTCGATAGTGAATGCGTTGTATCGTTCTATAATTACGAAGCTGAGGCGATTCAGAGAATTAACAGCGGGCCAAATTTGCATACAGGTTTTGACATCGGTAAGAGTGAGGGAACATCCTCTTCCGATCTCGACATTAACGGGACGGAAATGCTACAAAGCGCAAAGGGGAAAGTACATTTAGGAAAGCCGGGTAAAGATAAGAGCAATGCGAATTGTGAAATAAACAATGAAGAAAGCAAAGGGGACTTCAAGCCGGGGCAAAGTACCGCGTCTTTTGAGAGCATTGAATGTACTACTTTAGTGCCTGATCAAGAAGATACCGTAGGCCAAAGAGAAAATTATGTAGATTGCTGTGATAAAGCTGAAACGAACACTGTGTATGACATTTCGGATGTAACCGAGGGGCTAAAAGTAAAACAGAAAAAGACAAAACGAAAGGTTGTTGGGGTTAGGGAAAACCATGCTCGGAAAATGGATAAAAATCCGTATGAAAAAATAACAAGTAAAGCAAATTCTACTTCTGTGACTTCGAGTGAAAAGGGGAAAGTAAATGGCTGCAAGGGGAACACGAAGCAATCTGATAACAGCCATGCTCATGAAAACTCTATCACAAGTTCACTGAAAGGATCCGGGACAATCCATACAACCGCGACGTTAAATGAAAACGCCATGACTGAAATACATTCAAGCTCCGATGCTGTACGGAATATAACAGCGACAGAAACGAACTGCGATTACCACACGGTAGAAGAAGGTCCTACGAACCTCATGTTAGCTCAACAACGACATAACGAAGCCAAACAAAACTACATTGTTTCAGAGATTTCTGATTTAAATAGCAATCAACAATCTGACGCGAACTCGGTCTTGGATAACCAAACAAATTTTCCTGAGAAAGTGGGACATGGCTTTACTGATGCCTCAAAAAGTCTCTCGAAACCCACATCAAGCTTAACACCCGTAGCTTGGGAGGACTCACCCCGCAAGTCTATTGAAACGGGTCTCGCCTCAGCTCGGAATACAGGACTCATAATAATTCAGACCTCGTCTGTCTGCGTGATGATCCCGCAGGCCACTGGCCGGCGTCGCAATCCAGTTAACGAAATCCGTCGGCGGTGCGCAACACTTTTCATGAATCCCATGTTCGATTGGTTCATAACCAGCGTGATATTTTTAAATACAGTCGTCATGGCTACAGAATACCATGGCATGAACCAGAGGTTGGAAAGCACATTAGATAATATTAATCTCGTAAGTATAGTACAATGTTTATACATTAAACTAAATGTTGATGGGGTTTTTGTGGATGGAAATTCAAATTGTGAATTTTATACACTTTTAGATCTAACCAGGAACAGCTGCAAAAAATGCAACTGTAGGTCAGAATCCTGCGTCCCTGCAGGGCTCTAACCGACTCAGCTACAGAGGCTTTCTCAGTATAGAGCATGAAATTTTATATGACCACACTATTAATGCACTGATTGACTTTTTACAAATTATCTCTCCTTTCCCCTTAGGCTTGTACGTTTGTGTTTATTCTGGAAATGCTTGTCAAGGTGACGGCTCTCTCCCTGCGAGGCTACATTCAAAGTCGTTGGAACATCTTGGATGGTTTTATAGTTGTGATTAGTGTCGTTGAGATGATGATAGTATGGTGTGTCCCCGATGTTACTCATGGCCTGGGCTTCAGCGTACTGAGGACGTTCCGATTGGTAAATATATTCTGGGTTTTATATTAGACCACATAAAATAAATTCCTCGCCATCTTGAGGGTCTATTTTTACACGAACGTCTTGGGTCTTGAACGAGAATTGAACCAGGGTAAGGCAAAAATTTTCTGTTTCTAGTCAGCGAGCACTTAATCTTTGACTATGCGCGTCGACGTTTTATATGAAAACCGCTGTTCATCTCAAGGAAATTTTTCTCGTGGAAATCTTCTTTCAATATAGTTTCATGTTTATGAATGCATATTAGTACTCGATGATTTTTGCGAGAGAATAAAGCATATTCTTGTGATATTTCGTAGTTGATATATTTCTATTATTTACATCTTTACATTAAATAAACAAGCTTTGACTATTTTATTATATTGTGTAGCGTAACATTAACAATCCATTAATATTAGGTATCTTATTAATATGTAGATTCGCATACTAAAACTAGCGCAATCCTGGGTGACAATGCGAGCTCTTCTTTCCACAATCGGTGCAAGTATTGGACAGCTTGGTAACCTCACCCTACTTCTTGTTATTGTCACGTATACATTCGCAGTCATTGGTATGCAGTTGTTCTCTGAGAGTTACACTCCTGAACATTTTGAAGACAAGAAAGTGCCGAGATGGAATTTTGCTGATTTCTTGCATTCGTTTATGATCATATTCCGGGTGCTGTGTGGGGAATGGATCGAGCCGTTGGTTGTGACGATGCACGTGACAACGCCTACAGCGGTAGTGTTTTATTTCGCTGCTTTAATAATTGGCAATTTTTTGGTAAGTTGGGGGAGAGGGTGGGGATTATTTTTGCATTTAGCAATTCTTCAATCAGTGAACAAGAAGAAATGTATTGTCTTTAACCTATTTAGATGCGGGATATTAGTATAGCATGACCAGTTGCCACTGGCTTGCTTCGTCACTGAGATTATTTAAAAACCTATTGTGGCTGTAAATCACTGAAATTTTCAACACTACAGTTGCACAGAACATTCCAGGTTATGATGATGCAATCTGGAAAGTATGGGAGCTGAGGCCCCCCAATTCGACATGGGAGGCTCACCCTCTGAGCTCCCCCCCCCCCCGTTAGTGTGGTTAGTTCGTTCATGTCATCTCTGTGACCGGATTCTAATTTCGCACCAGTAACATGTAAAGAAAAGTTCTTTCAGTTTGACTTTACCAGATATCACTGGTTGCCTCCGTAGCTAAATGAGCCATCCACTGGTATTTACTAATTAAGAATAAACTCTGCAGCCGGAATACGTTAGCATCTATATAAAATCGCACCCCTTGTTCATTTTGGAAGTAAGATCTATTCGGTAAACGTGATAAGCGGAATCGTTCGCAGAAAAGTATTTCCGAGAAAAACGTGCGCACCCTATGCTTACATAATATTTCTGATTACCTTTCCTAGATCTTGAATCTTTTCTTGGCTCTTCTACTTAATTCCTTCTCGACAGAGTCACTGAGCAACGCCGAAACTAAGCGATCGGTGAACATCAGAGAGAGATTTCGTCGCGTTGTGAGAAAATATGTAAACGTGATGCGTGTATTCCGTGCCTTTCGCGTGTCTGCTAAAACGTGCACAACGAAAAACGAACGTGAACACGCTAATGAAGATGGTTCGCGCTCTGTCTCAAGCCGAGCGTGCGAAGCCGAAGACGGGGGAACTGGGACGGAGACCAATATTAAAGATGTCATATCTAATGAAAACTCAATAACCTCCGAAGCTATTGACCAATCCGGTTCAAGGACGCAATCACGTGCCACTTGCATGACGTCATCAAATCATTCCCAGAAGACTCTTCGGCATCGAGATGACGTCGTTCCAGACTGTTTGCCAAAATTTTGCTGCAGATGCTTCAACTGGGACAAGGAACATCGTTCTATGATGTATAAAGCAGTTATATTTTCTCGTGCGAAAGTCCTCAGCATTGTTGAACACAGATACTTCGATGCATTCATTTTGTTTCTCATATTTATCAGCAGCGTCTCATTGGTAAGTTATTGAGTTAGCTGCATCCGTTTTCAATGAATGTACCTGTGATAAGTCCCGAAGATGAGGCAGTGACTAACTTTGGGATAAATACTCCCCCCCCCCCGGATTAAAATGGAAAGTACCCCTGGTCCTGGTGAAAAGCTATGGCGCCATTGAAATTTGGCTATATTCAGGGTGTCAACGGGCGTTGAAAAACCTGCAAAGTTCTTGAATTTGAAAAAACGGAATCCAAGCCTGGAAAGTCCTTGAAAACTATGTGGTGCAGCGCTCTATCTAACCACAAATTCATCGCCTGAGCTGAAGTTTTGCACCTCACCTAAAATTTCATACGAAATTGGATGAGATTTGAACAGATAGAGCTTTCTATAGTACGAATGAAGTTTATTTATATCATTTATAAATTGTGTTTATAGGCTCTTGAAGATGTCCACTTGGATTCAAAACCGGACTTGAAGGCCTTTCTCAAGATCCTAAATTACGTTGTAACAGTTATTTTTGCACTAGAATTCCTATCGAAGTTGTTTGGTTTGGGTTTCCTGCAGTACTTTCGTAACGCGTGGAACTGTCTAGATTTCTTTATTGTGGTGGTAAGCCAAATTATGTTTCGTAAAGTAGTAGAGAAGTAAAACAATGTCATCTAGCCCAAGTTTTTGTCCGATTTCGGCATTGCAAATGGCATGAAAATCGACAACTTTCATGGGCGGCTTAGTAGGGCACATGCCAACACGTTTTGGGATCCGTCTTTTCGATTCGATCACTGTTCGTATATATTTTTAATTAAATATCATTTAATTTTTTTTCGTGCATTTTCTCTAGGTATCTATAGTTAGTTTGGTTGGCAGTGTCGGTGATGGTAATTTGACAGCATTTCGTTCGCTACGGACGTTGCGAGCCCTGCGACCACTCAGGGCCATACCTCGTTGGCAAGGAATGAAGGTAATGTATATAAACGTCATCTTTTTTTATATAAACGTCATCTTTTTTATTTCGCTAGGTGAATTTTCTGCCGGCTATTATTTTTGGGACCCAGGGAAAGCAACAATGTTGGCTTAATCTAAATTTCGTGCATGAAATGGAAAAAATAAAGAACTATTTCAAACTCTCTTTGGTTAATTAAAGAGCTACGTGTTTCATTTGAAAAAAAAAATTGGATTGAATTTCAGGACTTTTCAGAGCATTTTTACTCTGTCCAATCAGGGTGGGATAATTCGCGTACATCTGAGATCTACGACGTGCTTTCAAAACAAAACAAGACAAATTAAATTCATGCAAGACAAATTAAAAGTATGATTAATTAATTTGTGGTCCCAAGGGTATCCTCAAGAAGAAATCTAAGAAGAAATGTAATGCATCTTTATAGTAAAAAACCTCATCTTGATCAACTTTTTCACTGTCAAAGTTTCCACACATGATGTCATTACTAGTGTACAGTAGGTGAATTTTTGGTCCAAAAACAAAGGAAAACTAATTTGCAATGGACCTTTCACCTTTTGACTGAAATTTAGATTTCAACAAGTCTAGACAAAAATTTTATCACAGCTTGAAAGAGCATCACAAAATTAGTAATATTCCGAAGTTTCGTTGCGAAATGTTGTAAAATGCGGATAATATAGCCTTGCGAAGTTTGCAATTTTCAGTCATTTTAGATTACAAACGGGAAAAACATACCCTTTTTCCGAAGGAGGTATGTATTTCCCGCGCGTAATACAAAATGACTGAAAATGACAAACTTCGCAAGGCTATATTATCCGCATTTTACAACATTTCGCAACGAAACTTCGGAATATTACTAATTTTGTGATGCTCTTTCAAGCTGTGATAAAATTTTTGTCTAGACTTGTTGAAATCTAAATTTTAGTCAAAAGGTGAAAGGTCCATTCACCTTCAATTGACCATTTGCGTAATAGACTAAATTTTGATCTCAACAAAAATTTCATCACAGCTTGAAAGAGCATCACAAAATTAGTAATATTCCAAAGTTTCGTTACAAAATGTTGTAAAATGCGGAAAATATAGCCTTGTGAAATTTGCAATTTTCAGTCATTTTAGATTACAAACCGGAAATTGACAGCCTCGAAGGGTTTGGGGCTGTCAATTTCCCGTTTGTAATCTAAAATGACTGAAAATTGCAAATTTCACAAGGCTATATTTTCCGCATTTTACAACATTTTGCAACGAAACTTTGGAATATTACTAATTTTGTGATGCTCCTTCAAGCTGTGATGAAATTTTTGTCTAGACTTGTTTAGTTCAAAATTTTGTCTATTACGCAAATGGTCAATTCACCTTCAAACTTTGACAGTGAAAAAGTTGATCAAGATGGGATTTTTATATATAAAGATATATTACATTTCTTCTTCGAATAACCCAAATATTACACATACCAAAAATCATATTCATGGTTAGTCGTACTTTAATTATTTCGTTTTCTTTTCATAACAGGTTGTGGTAAACTCTCTACTATCCGCCATTCCTGAAATTGGCAATGTTTCTCTGGTGTGTTTGATATTCTGGCTCATATTTAGCGTGATGGGCGTGCAGTTCTTCGGAGGAAGATTCTATAAATGTCTTGACGACGATGGCGAAGTTCTGTCTCATACGACAGTGGCAAATAAGACGGGATGTCTGGCAATGAATTATACTTGGAAGAATTCTGACATTAATTTTGATAATTCGCTTGCTGGATTTCTCGCTCTCTTTCAAGTGGTGAGTTCAATGGTGTCTGTGTTAATTGGTTATAGATAATTTTTGAACAGTGCTGTTGGAAAAGCTGGGCGATGGGGTGTGAAAGCTACGTGGGTCTGGTGGCATGCTCCTCCCGTGAAAAGCTGAAATATCGTAAATTGTCTGAAGTAGCATTGCAGCCTACTTCGCCTTACTTTGTCATTTACTATGCTCTGTCTACAGGGTTCGTAGCGGTCTTTGAAATCCTTGAAAGTCTTTAAATTTGAATGCAGGTCTTTAAGGTCTTTGAAAAGTCTCTGAATTGTGTGAAAAAGCGAAGAAAGTCTTTAAAAGTCTTTAAATTCTTTAGTGAGTATTTGATTATACGATTTCCTAGCTAATAAAATAGATTGATTGAAGCAAGATTTTCGCAAATATCGACGAAAAGGCGCATTTTAGGATGTGATTTGACGGGACTAATTACCTGGTAAAAATGGTGCTTACACCAGGGTCTTAGCTAGAGGGCCGTGTTGGCCGTGTTATCGCGGCCAAAAGTGGAAAAACACGGCTAGATAAAATGAACGCGGCTTCACTATTTATACAAGGCCGTGTAGATTCATAAAATAAGGTGGTGCATGCTACTTACAACAGACAGAATTTCTTTCTATTTACGTCGTAAGAAAGTTTGTAAAATCTACTGTTGTTGTTGAATTGGCAAAAGTGATTCGTGATGTTTTAATATTTTGATGGTAATGGGACCTGTATGGTGTTAAAATGGTTTTAAATACCCCCAAGAGTTGCTGAAATAACTTAATATTTTAATGTCAGTACGTGCGCAATATGAGCGTATGCTCGCCTTGTATTTGGTTGCAAAGCATAGAACAACCACAAGCATTATTGTTGGCGAGCATAACTAGAACCGTGATTCTGCTATTCAAGGTAATTGACATGTGCACGCCCTGGTCATTAGAAACACGCCCAAGATCTAAAATCCTAGCTAAGACTCTGGCTTACACTCGCAATTTTTCGACAGCTGATCGCTCTCAAAGGTCTTTGAAAAGTCTTTGAAAATAGACAGAAAAATCTTTGAAAGTCTTTGAATTTTTTTGGTCTTGGAGACTACGAACCCTGGTCTAATGCCAAAGGATTTTACTCATCAAGGGGGAGTGTGTTGGCACTCAATGGATTAATCAGACCATCTGTCCATGTGTCTTGTTAAGTCATTAAGTGGCATTGCACCATAACGTATCCTACTTTGTCATTTTACTCTGTCCAACGCCAGGCGATTTTACTCGTCAAGGGCAGTTTGAAAACAAACATAAACTCATCAAATCTCCACTTATATTATTATACTTTTCGTGAATGTTAATACAACATACAGCAAGAAAACGAATACAGGGTATAGATATCTATACTGATAGACATAATTTATTTACAAAATCTTTGGTAGCTATATAAAGCCACCACAGCCCTCGTGGGTCCCACGTGCACACCAGTGATTTTGGAAGCAGGGATGGATCCAGCATGATCTGGTAGGGGGGATGCTCTGGTGCCGAGTTGTGTCGGTCATGTGTGCCGCCCGCCCATCAACTTGCTCCACTACTGCAAAGCCTTGCTTGACTACAGTATTTGAATTGTATTATTGTTGTTCACAGTTTGCTTATCATCATGTTATTACTCAAATTACTGAATCTCATTTTGTCTCTAATAATTTTTTGCTTTATCATGAAAAATAGCACCCCCTGGCCAGGGGGGGGGTGCGCACCCCTCCCCCCAGTAAATCCATCCCTGTTTGGAAGTGTACGTTTTACCTGTGTTCCACATTTTTACACAGCCAATTATTGTGGGTATCGAAAATTCAATCTAAGAACCAGGCAAATACCTAAATTTATAATACACCATTCCGAGTAAGTGCGCAGTCTTGACTATATAGAGTCTCGTTTTCGTGATCGAGTTATTGGGTTTATGCACAAATTTCCTAGGTTTGAACAGCTAACAGTTGACCTCAAAATACGGTTTGAGGTTTGCCGTTTCCATTCTGCCGTAAACGTAAATCTAAGGCCAATTTCCACTCAAGAAAAATTTCCACGGACAGAAAATTTTCCAAAAATATCATTGTTAAAAGTTGAAAATTTTCAACTTCAAATTTTTTTTCCCACGGAAAATTTGTTTCGGATAATCACATTTTACAAAATTTACTTTCTGCGGAAAATTTTCCTAATATGCTGGCTTTTGCATGTGACAGGGTGACACAACTATATATACCTGGAAAAAAGACCAAACTTCGACGTTTCGAGCGATGGCCTTCGTGTGGAAGATAGTCAGCTCAGCTAAGACCCTTCACCAGAGACGTCGAAGTTTGTTCTATATGTACTAGATAAAACATGAGCAGCCGATCTGTATCTGATATACAAACTCGAGCCGAAGGCGAGAGTTTGTATATCAGATACAGATCGGATGCGAATGTTTCATCGTACTTAAAAAACGACCCATCATATGAGTTCATTGGCGAAGTAATTTTAAAAATAAACATTGTCTAAGCCGAGAAAATCAAAGCTGAAGTTTATGTAAATCAGGACAAATCTTTATCCGATTTACAAACATTGATTAAATATTCATTTCTTTTGTATTTTCCTCGTAAATTATTAATGATTTTTTAAATATTATATATATTATTCATATATATATATATATATATATATATATATATATATATATATATATATATATATATATATATATATATATATATATATATATATACCGGGTGGCCCAAAAAAAAGTACTCCTGTTTGATTTGTAATAACTTCTAAACAAGTAAAGTTTTTAAAGAGAAATAACTTGCATTAAATAGAGGAAGGACTAACTTAGATTTTGATATATTACAGTTGTATTTAACTTAAAAATTCACGGATATATTAATGTTAAAAATGGGAGCATATTTTGGAATGTGTCTAAAATTAGCGAAAATCGGCATATCAAATATTAACTCCAGCGTTTGTTTGCTTAATGACATATTAGGCTAACTTGTATTTCAGCGAATTATCGTTAAGGTTTGTAAGGGATATGGCGTAGATTTAGACATCTTACATGTAAGTCTTAGCTCATTGTTTCCTGAAATATGAACGTTCGAAATTATGCAAGTATTTAATATTAGGTCTTTGAAAACTTAAATGTACATGAAAGACTGACCATGGAAGGCAGGCGCTTAAATTTTTCGTATTCTTAAATAGCCTAATTTTTTTATGTTTTTAATGGGTTCAAACAGACTGAGTAGATTATTTCTTGGTTAGAGCAGGATGAATATTCTTTATTGAAGGAAATAATATTGCTTTTTGCAAATACACATCACCGTATCAACGCTACTATTTTGTTACGTTTTGTTCCAAAAATGTTGCATGTCTCTGGGGAGTTGCTTAATTATTATGTCTTATGGAGTTACAATGGTTTGATTGTGTTTCATATAATTCTCAGTTTACTCCATGAACTTGCCAAGATTAAGAAACGGCAAAAGAGTTTGGGTGTTCTTAACAAGATTTCAGAACGTTGCAGAAGTTAGAAGAGCTTCACAATTCCGTTGTGACAGCATGCCCTAATTCAGAACTACGAACGATCCAATGACGATCCTTCGCGATGCAGTGGTCTCATGAAATAAGGAAACGTATTCGTGCTAGGAACACATGCGAATTTCGGACGAATGAATCTTGCTTGTATTTTGTAGATATAATAATACTTTGTTTCATAATAAACAATTTGTCAAGTGTCATTTATTTACTGGTAATAGTGCATGTTTCAGTCGGGCAAATCTTGATTAATATTTGATACGCCGATTTTTGCATATTTCAGACACATCCAGAAATATTCTCCCGAATTTAAAGATTAATATCTCCGTGAATTTCTAAGTGAAATACAACTGTAATATATCAAAGTCTAAGTTAGTCCTTCCTCTATTTGATGCAAGTTATTTCTCTTTAAAAGCTATACTTGTTTAGATGTTATTACGAATCAAACAGGAGTACTTTTTTTTGGGCCACCCGGTATATATATATATATATATAAGCCTGCATATGACGTTGCATGTTATATCTACACACCTTATCAAACTATACATAAAGGGTGCAATCATTGTACAAATTTTCGGTGGAGCGTTAATTGGCTTACCGAATTCAAAAGAATGTTCTATCCAGTGTGCTACTATAGTTTTTAGATCAGTGTTATATGGGGTAATATTACATTTGAAGAATAATTGCGTCATCGTTGTTGGCCAAAACAATATATCCGTTTGGATGTGACATCAGCCGTTCATAACGACCCTGGATATTAAAATGATGGAGCAATTCACCAGTGTTTGAACTGAAAGTGTAGATCATAGTGTCATCATCACTATCTCTGGCACCAATTCCGTTAACACTGGTAATGATCGCTTCATTGACATGATTAAAGATAACACTCCAAGCATTAAACGATTTGAAATATCGTGGTATTTCCAGACGACGTTTTAGCTGACCATCTATTGTCAGAACGTAAATGAGGAGTTGACAGTCATAGCTAGCAAAAGCTAAAATTATTTCATTTTTATTAGAAACAGCTAAGCTGGAGACGAAGGTGCATCTCTTATCTTGGAATGGCACAAAAAAATTGTAGTCTTTTCCGACATTTGTACTGTCGTAGATATACATAGCTTTAGCAGATTGATGATATATAACGATCAGACCATTTTTGGTGACACACATTTGTGGACCAATTAATATAGGACATTCAAGATATCTGTCCGCTTTTACGTTCCCATTCGTATCAAAGGTCAATAATTTATGTCGACCAGAGTTGCCCTTCACAAGAATGAACACGTTATCATTTTCGTCCACTGCCGAACAGCATATTTTATCTTCATCGTTTTCTGAGGGAATGGTACAGAACAACTCACACTCGCCGCTTTTCCTTAGACTCTTCCTATCCCATGTAACTGACAAGATTTCCCCTTTGCTAGTTAACCCACATCCAGAAATATATAAAGGAATCTTTTCATCAAACTTCCAGAACCGACGACACTGCTTTCTGTCCAACAGTGGATGATAAAGTTTCATGCCAATCTTTATCGTGGGCCAGTTGAAAAGACCCATGCTCATGTTTGTAAATTTCATGGTGAGATCTATTAATAATGCGTTGAGCATTTGTATGGACTCTATGTTATCATTCCTATTCTTCTTGTTGAAGCGAGCTCGTAAGCGGGACGTAATCCCTTTATCGGCATCTTGCCATACAGAAAACATCGCTTGTACAGCAGGTAGATCATGTAGCTCTTTCAGGTAGAGTAAACAGTCTTTAACAGCTACATCTGGGTCGTCTAAACCCTCGAGGATTCTGCTGGCAATGCGAAGCTTGCTTGCCATCAATCTATCTTCTGTGCTGAGGGCCACGTTGTTAAATGCTTCCGTTGCCAGTCTCTTTGATTCTTTGAAGGACTCTTTGGCCAATTTGTAGCGTTCTTGTGATGCGATTGTTAAGTTCCCGATAGCTTCAGAAAGTTCAAATGCGCTTTGTAAGACATCGCGTTCCGCTTGCTTGGCTGACAACTGCTCAACTCTCGTCGCTGTTGCACCTTTGACTTCACATTCGTCTTCGATGTGTGCTTTTGAAGTGTTCGGCTTATCACTAGCTTCACCAGATGTTTCGAGAGAAGCGTACAACCTGGTAACTCCTTCTTTGAAAAAGCTGAGACTTGCCAACAAGTCCTTTCTGGACAAACCGTCGAGTTTCGATTTAATATCATCAAGTTCTCGAACAATAATCTCTCTGCATTGTTCATCGTTTAAGTCACCTTCGTGAAGTCGTTCTGCAGTGTAATCTCGTAGTTTACTGCACAGTAAACCAACTGTGGATTTTAGCATCCCGCTCACAATCATTTCAAATATCTTAACTTTGAGGCGGATTTTGCACACTAATGCATGTAAGATATTTCTATATCTTCTAAATGTTGTCTGCGTTAAAAATATTGTTTTGTGTTTACTGAGTGTGTTTGCATTGGACGCCCACGTTTTAGATAATTGCAAAGCAATCACATGATGTTAGCTTTCTGTTGTACAAGTGATTGAACTAGCTAGTATCGTATCCTTCATCTACGTTAAATCGTTCACATTTCACAACCCTCAAAAATTGTTTTAAAAGATCGTTGTTACTTGTTCGAGAGAAACAGAGAGAAATGGTAGGATGTTAATAGAGCACGTAAAATAATACCAACTGCTGTTTCTTTTGAAAGTAACTAACCCCCCACCATTAACTTAATTATTGACATAACTGAAGTGCACTTACAAAATGTATCACTTAAATTAAATTTTCGATGCCCATGCATTATTTATCAGCTGGGTAAAAATCTGGAACATATAATATAGCTAGTGCATTTCGCGCCACCGAAAAAAAATCATAGGGATTTTGCAACAAAATGGTCTATTTTGAAGTATGCAATCGCATATATTCATCTAGCAGAAGACGAAGTATAACTTTTGCATGAAAGAAACGAGCTATCCGTAAAGCCTGGTTTCCATGCATATGATCGTAACGGTCGTAGAGATTGAGTCACGATCTTTCTCATCAGCCGAAATACAACAGTTTGGAACTGAAAATACGCGGAGTAATTATAACTGGAGAATACTTATGATTTATAATTATATGGTTTACAGGTAAAGAACTATTACAAGCTGGCCGTTGAGAAAGATCGTGACTCTGTCTTTACGACCGTTACGACCATATGGAAAGCTGGCTTAAAGCCCGTTTTGTACCAGACCAATTTGTTTTAGCGAGCGAAGCGAAGAACGAATTTGGACAATGAAAACATTCGCAAGTTAATTTTTGCTTTGCCTGAACAAATTCGCCCATTGGAAAACGGGCAAAATAGAAAAATATTTGAAATTTGAATCTTTGCATCAGAGGTCTGTAGACTTACAGACAGGTTTTTATTTTTTTCAGGCAACATTTGAAGGTTGGATTGAAATCATGGCTGACGCTGCAGATGTAACAGAGGTGAGATCTAGTGAAAGGGCGTTTTCTTGAGCCGTGAACAGTGACCTCTCTATATATATCTGGAGCAAGAACTTCAGTCATTCGGTCTATGAGAAAAGTGAATCCAAGATGGCGGCCATTGACGTCCAATAGCTCTGAAGGTCGTAAACAACTTTTACACCATTTTCCCCAGCTATATCCGGTTTCTTCTAACGGACCGTATCGCTAATCAAGTTTTCAGTTCATAAAATCACAATATTATTCTTTAAATCTAAGTCAAAATACGAAATTTCGGCACACTCCTTGCCAAGATGGCGGAAAGTGAAAGGGCTGTAGGACGTCAGTTCCAGTCCCTTTCTATTGTTTTTGTCTGCGCGGTTAACACGAAGGTGGCTTCACTTTTTTAACTCGAGTTCTCGTTCCAGATAAATATGGAGCTCACTGCTTCCCATGCCGTGAGCCTTCATTTTGTTGGCATATTTTTTGTCCGTGAAACGAGAATAGACAAATATGTTATTTGGCTAACGTTGTTTACATCGTTGCCACCAAACTCATAACTCATATGCCTAGTTACTATTGTTTTAGTTTACCGAACTAAAGAATAAAAGTTATTAATTAGCATTAGAATTATGTATCAGAGTTTTTTACTCAAGTAGATAATTCTAGTGCCTAGCCTAGATACCTTCGAACTGTTCTATGCTTCTGTAACTGACTAGAATTATCATAATAGTAACTAACAGGATTTTTTAAACTGGAATCGCAGGGCCACATTGTATTTTTTTTATCTTAAGATGGATGAATAAAACTATTATTAATAATAAGTAACCCCTCCGTAGATGTCATGCATTGGTGAAGTCCCGAAGGTGTTCGCTTTATAGGGTTTCCCGACTGTACTTTTTTTCGATTCTTTTAAATTTCAGGTGGATAAACAGCCACAAAGAGACAAGAATCACATGGCCCATCTATATTTTGTCGTTTTCGTGTTGTTCGGTTCGTTTTTCGTGCTCAATCTGTTTGTCGGAGTAATCATTGATAATTTTAACCGTCTAAAGAAGGAGTATGAAAGCGGTGCGGTGGGCTTATTCCTCACTGAATCACAGAGAGCCTGGTATGACACCTTGAAGAAAGCCGCTGGCAAGAAACCGCGGAAAGTCGCAAAAAGACCAAAGGTAAAACGCCTCATGGAGATCTGACTCGTTGCGTTCTCACAGAGACGACTGGGGACGAGTCAGCATGAAGTATGAAATATTCCATGAATCCGTAATCAATATACCGTAAACCTCCGACTATAAGACCCCCCCCAATATAGGCTCCCCCCCCGTGTATAAGCCCACCACATGTACTAACGCTCACCTCATTCCAAATATAAGCCCCCCCCCCGAATATAAGCCCACCCGAATATAAGCCCCCGAATATAAGTCCCCAATTAATATAAGCCCAGTAATCGCTGTTTTAAATACACGTTTATTTCCCTGTTTATGACCGACTTGTTTATGTCTGACTTGTTTATTACTAACACAAAAGATCATCCATGTATAAGCCCACCCGTATACCCCCCCCCCTTGTATAAGCCCACCAAAAATCGCTTACGAAAGTATATAAGCCCAGGGCTTATAGTCGGAGGTTTACGGTAGCCCAGTTCAGATCGGCGAGCAAGTTTCCTTGACAAATTTACTTTCGGGTGTGTACGGTGAACCATAGGTGAACTAGTTTCCCTTGACAACTTTCTTTGACAAGTTTTGTAGTGCTCAAGACCGCCTTTTGTTTGCCAAAACCACATAATTATTTCTTGTACACTTGTCAAGTTTTCCTAGGGGGCTATTCACACAAACAACTTTTCCTTGTCCAAGAAATTTTCCTTGTCCAAAAGCTGGCATGATTAAAGCTTTGGAAGAAGACTCCTTGCATGGCAAGGAAAGATTGACCATTTTTTGCCGTCTTAATATCTTATTAATCTTTAAATAAAGATGTAATTCAGAATTTAATAATAGTATAGCAATATTTTTAATGTTTTATTAATTTCAAGAGAATAGTATTGATTTCAATTGACGCAGGTCGGGAAACTATTGTATGCCGCCACATAATTATTTGAAGAAAAACTAAACATTTGCTATTTTATTACATTTTTAGGAGAAATGGAGAGCGCATCTGTTTGACATTGTGAACAGTTCAAAATTCGAGTTTGCCATCATGATGTTGATCATATTGAATATGGTGATTATGATGGTGAGACACCATCGACAGAGTGAAACTGTTACCAATGTACTCGATATCCTTTTTCTATAGTATCATGCAGTCATCTCATCAAGACACTTGTAGGGCTTGTATAGCCCAGTTCCTCGGCCTTTTCGCTTGCGCCTGATTATTAAGGGTGATTTTTTAAAGGCATGCGGTTGACGATGTTGATCAGCAAACTGTAGTGAATTTATTAGGATGGGAAACAGTCAAAACAAAAAGAATGAAAAAGCTAAACCAAAATTATTTTTAAAATATTTCATAAAATATGAGGCGGAGTTATCTTAAATAATTTTTCACTTTCAAAAACTTTTAGCACTTTTAGCACGTCAGAATAGTTGAAAAAGAGTTTTATGTACGATGGTGCCAAATGAAAGGAAAGCAAAATACTATCAAGATTTGAAAGGAAAATCGCTGCTATGGCTTTAAAACGCGACATTTTGTAAAATTTAAATGTTTCTAAAAATAATTTTATATCTGCACGCTTACTACTGCGCCTTACTACTTTTTTAAACTAACAATGTTAACGTGGTTAAATAGAGTTTATCATCATCATCATCAATTTACAACGAGGCTTATACTATACTGGAGGATATAATTTATTAAAACAATAACATAAATAAACGACGCATTATTCGTTTTCCTTGACTAACACCGTGATATGTTTCGCGGTTATTACTTTACAGTAACTCGATATTCACTGCGATTTTCCTTTTGGAAGCTTTATTCCGACTTGGCGTACAACGTGTTGACTACTTCAAAGAACCATGGAATGTCTTCGATTTCATCGTCGTCTTGTTATCTATTGCAGGTATATAATGTTTTGTTTGTGAGAACACCACATACATTTATTACTGCATTTACGTGGTGTTTCCACAAACAAAACTATTATATGTTTTATCGCCATGCAAACATACAAATAACTTATTGCAGGTATGTTGCTTAAAACTGTTGCTCTTTGTTCTATAGCATCATATTTATTTAATAATTGTTGGATATCGGACAAAAGAGTCTATCTAATTAAAATTATTTTGAATTGGAACACCAACATGGCGGCTGTGACGTCATGTGCAAACGCTCTATATGAGGATAAGAATGATGTGGCAAAACAACCCCCCAAACAAAACTTGCATTTTCCTTCTGCAAAATAGGTTTCATGTTTTTAAATTATGTTTTTATAACTTTATGAAATATTTTTGGTTTCTTAAAAGTAAAGTTTGGTTCTGCAAAGTCCGAAAATGTAGAAAGGGACAATAACGGGCCTAAAATACCCTAATTTCCAAATGTTTTCACAAGAAACACCGCTTTTCCACTCAGTTAGAGGAAAACACTATATCGTTGCTCCTATTTCAGGACTCGTTATGGAATATTTAAACCAAGCGTTCATCATTACTCCCAGTATATTCCGCGTGGTTCGTGTATTTCGCGTGGGTCGCTTGCTTCGTTTTTACAAAAACGCGCGTGGAGTTCGTCGCCTCTTATTCGCCTTGCTAATCTCATTACCAGCCCTCTTCAATATTGGTGCGCTGTTGTTCCTTCTCCTTTTCATCTACGCCATCATCGGCATGTCTTCGTTCGCCTACGTCCAACACTCGGGCGCCATTAACGATATGGTGAACTTCGAGACGTTTCGTAACTCGATGTTATTGTTATTCCGACTTTCGACTTCTGCCGGATGGAATGATGTGTTGGCACCGTTGATGACGCAACCGCCCGAATGCGATCCGACGTACGACGGCCTCTCGAACGGTAATTGTGGAAACCCATATTTCGCTGTGTTCTATTTCGTGTCGTTCGTGTTGATCACGTCATTAATTATCATCAATATGTACATTGCGGTCATTATGGAGAACTTACATGAAGCATTCAAGGCGGAAGCTGCTGGTATCACCCACGACGATCTTGATATGTTTTATCAAAAGTGGGAACAATATGATCCACATGCAACCCAATATATCCCTCACCATCTTTTATCTGATTTCGTGGATTCGTTGGAAGAGCCAATGAGATTGCCGAAACCAAACAAATTTGCTTGCATTAATTTGCACATACCTATTCAAGAGGTAAGAAAAATGTACTTTAGCAACACAAGTAATTTTGTTATTTTGGAGGGATTGAAGTTTTTGATCTGTTAACGTGTTCCTTTAATTTATAGTAATCAGATTTTCGTTGTTGTTGTTTTTGTTGTTGCTGTTGTTGTTGTTGTTGTCGTCGTCGTCGTTGTTGCTGTTCCCATTATTTTTTGCTGTCATTGTCGTTACCGTTATCTCTGCTGTCTTTCTCGTTGTATCTCTTGTTGCTATTGTCGCCGCTGTTGCTTTTGTGGATCGGTATCCAATTAACGTCTTCATTGAATTTCATCTCCACCATTTCAAGGGTGATCGTATCCACTGTGTTGATGTTATACAAGTGCTGGTTCGCCAATTACTGGGAGACATCGAACAAGAAAACCCAGATGCATTTGTGTTTATGCAGAAGAAGTTGGAGGAAGCGTTTCTTGCTGCCTTTCCCAACAGAGCTAAACAGCGACGAGAAACAACCACGTTTGTACGAAACAGAGAAATTTGCGCAGCGCTCGTTATTCAAAAGGCTTGGCGGGCAAAGGTTTTAAAGAACAGAGCATCTGATCTTTTGAATGATATCGAGGGTAAAAATCGCTGCCCATGCACTAGGGGTTGTAGTGTTGTAAATAGCTGATGTTGTGAGGTGGTTTTTACACTAATTTTGTAGTATCATTCCTTATTGTTTGCCGAGCGATTGACCATATGCCGGCTCGTAAATATAACATAAAATAACTGGACAAAGTGTGATCATGTTCAATTCATAGCAATATAATCCCAGGGCTTTATTATGATGGAAATTTGGAGCGAAATTAAAATTTTGGACCTGACCAGAAGCAGCTGCAAAAAATGCAAATTTAGGCCCTCCGGCAGGAGTCGAACCTGCGGCCCTGCGATTTTAGTGCAGCACTCTGAGCTACCGACTGAGTCCAGTTGCCTAAGATTTATAATACGAGTTATAATACAAGCGGGATAATGATTTGATTGGCTAATGCGCGTGCATTGTGACGCAATAATGCACTGTGGTCCGTGGCACTGCCTTGCATCCTCTTTTTCTGTTTCCCCCCGCTTCATCACTGCTTTTTAGCCAAAAATATCTACAAAACTATAGAGCTTTTAAAATACAAAATTCATCAAAGAGCGAGAAGGAGTAGACCAAAGGAACAAAGCAATTGTATGTATAGTTCTACGTGTAAAAACAATAAAATTAACCGGCTTGGCATTCTTAGAATTTGTTTTTGTCTCGACAAGTTTTGGGCAAAAGCGTAATAGCCGAGAAAAAGATACAGGAACACCAAAAGATAGAAAAAGGCAACAAAAACTGAACATAAGTGATTTAGAAAGTCCCGGCCTTCAATATAATGCATCTGATAAAAACTGCTGGATATATTTCCGGCGAAAGGCAAAAATTAAAACTGAGCAAAACGACGAAGCCTATCGATTTAACGTCTTTCATGGCAATTCCAGCAGCCCAGATGCTGAAAAAGATTAGCAATTATAAAAAATTAATCTGTGTATCACTGCCCCCCCCCCCCCTCCTCTAGCATTTTAAACAGTTTCTCCGCCACTTTAGCATCAAAATTGTATCAAAATTTTGTATTGATTTTGCTCTTTCGCTCGCTTAAAAATTCAAGCGACAATAAAAGCATGCGCGTGACGTCACTGAGTACCATTGAAAAGCTAAATAACTGTTCTTTCGTCTTATGTAAAAATTGAATTGTTTAGCCATGTTTATGATGCACAACAGCCTGTTGAATTTCCATAGCGTTTTTTTTAGACACCCTGTACATATGATGTTTGTGATGTTACTCTGAGTGTCTATCCCTGTATATATATATATATATATATATATATATATATATATATATATATATATATATATATATATATATATATATATATATATATATATATATATATATATATATATATTTAGGCCGCCTCATGTTTAATTCCTATCTCCAGGTCAGGTCTAAAATTGTACTAAAAGCTCATCTATGCGTTTAATTCTATCGAGCGAGATGTCCAAAATCTTGAGTTTTTTATATCATTTCCTTTATTTTATATCATTTAGGGGCTGATTACATGGTCACGAAAATCTTCCTTGGGCCGCAAAATGAGTTTTGAATCAGGTTTAGGATGATTTTGCATCTATATTATAAACCAACTATTTATATCGCAAATTTGTTTTACGCGAGTTTTAAAACAACAGTAAGGTCCTAAACAAACGAGTCAGTTCGGTTAACCGGGCCAGCCTGCATGGCACCATGTAATCAGCCCCTTATAAAGTTTTTTATATCATTTATCACCATATCAATTATCACGGAGGCTGTAAAAACGTACCACAATTTTGTATCAGAGGCGCGACGGTAAGTTGACGCAGCATATGAAGCGGCATAAATTTCGTTTTGTAAAGCTATATATTTAATATATTTTTAAATCGTATCGTTCATAGATTGGAGTGAACATACAGTTCCCTATTCTATATTACAGCATTATCATTTCGTTCATAATATGACTCAGGTAAATTTGTTATCTCTTATTTGGTACCTAACTCTATTTTGAATCGTTCATAAAAATTTAACATTAAAGTCAACAACTTGTTATAACAAAGAAATATGAGCTCAACACTCTTACATTCATACAGCAACAACAGTGTGAAGATACCTTGCTTGAGACATTTCTGGAAGTTCTTGCCAAGTATAGCGTTCGAAGTTGAAAGCTTCAACTGATTTTAGTGTTCCTCGCTCACCCAACCCTCCCAGTGCTACAATGCTGTTTCCTACAACAACTGCACTACATCCCTGTCTCTTACATCTCATCGGTGGTAGTGTATGACTTTCTTTTGTCTCGAGATTGTAAAAGATAACTGTATCTAATTTATTGCCATATTTGTCAGCGCCGCCGATAACAACAATGTTGTCTCCCCATCTCACAGTTGCCATGTCACGCACTTGATAAGGCAATGGTACCAACTGTTCACATTCATTTTTCTTTATATCGAGCAGCAAAACACTGTCGAGGCTGTCGTGGTAGAACCCAGTTGACGTTCCACCAACAATTAACAGATGTTCGTCAAATATTTGCGTGCTGTGATGCTGTCTTGGTTCTGGCATCCTTGATAAAGTCTTCACAGTATAGGGAGGAATAACCTGGACGTCATGAATACTGTCAGATGTACCATTTTCATTTTCACCACCAGAAACTATTAAATGATCGTTAAACAGCACACTACTGTGGTATGCCAATTTGGCAGGCAGTTTAACAGGACAATCACTCCAGTGTGTTGCCAGATCAGAGTTTAGGTTAATAGTCAAGCCAATCATACTATCGACAAAGCTAGGCCCAGCACAGTAACCCCCACCTAGTGTAACGTTATTGTTGTAAACGAATGAAGTCGATCCATAACGCTTCTCTGGCATGGTTTGTAATGGCGACCATATTCTTTGACGCCAGTTAAACATCTCTACAGAGTCCGTTCCTACACCTCCAGCAACAATTATATTTTCCTTATCACCACTTGCTGTATTTCTTACTTTTCTTGTGTTTTCATCATTCATTTCTTCCTTCCTGACAAGAGCTTCCTTCATTTCATCAAAACCTTTAATTAAAGCCGCTTTCAATCCACTGACTTCATTATGAACTGCTTCAAGTTTTCCTTCCATATCTCTTTTTATGTATGCGGTTTCCCTCTTCACGTTCGCTTCCATATTCGCCACATTTTTCTCCACATTTCCCACATATTTCTCTATGTTCGCTATTTTTGTTTCCATTGTTATATTTGCCGCCATATTCTTCTCGACAATGGAAATTCTTTTCTCCATATCTGCCAATGTTATTGTCATTTCTCCGCACGAGTGGCACTTCAACTTTCGAAATTCGCAAATTTCGCTTTCATGGTGAGTAAGATTACGCCTGTTAAAAGTTACACCACAGCCTTCATTTGTACAAACAGCTGGTGTAAATCCACATGTAGCCTCATGTCGATCAAGATGTTGTAATTGTACGACTGCTTGACAACCTCTGTTCATGTAAACACAATGAATATTTAATTCATTTAAAATATCTTGTACCATTCTATTGGGTTCGGCTAGATTCTCTACCGTCAGTTCGTCCGCACACGTAGGGCATCTTCGTGAATTCTCGAGGTGTTTCGTAATACAAGCACGGCAGAAACAATGTTGGTTTCTCGGACACAGGACCGGGTCTTTAAGGACATTGAGGCAAATCAAACAAAGGAAATTTCGATTGACTGTGGTCGCAAACCTCTTTTCATCATAGCCTGGTATATAAGACGCCATATATTTCACGCCTTCCTTATTTCGTAATAGCAAAGCAAGTTCTGTGTTGATGTTAGTCGCTCTGTCGTATAAATCTCGCTATATAGACAGAAGATACAGTGTTCTTTCTTCGAGAAAGTCTGTGTTAGTATTTGCTTGAAATCTTTAACAAAATGATCTGTTTAGAGCAACAGATAAATATTCCTTCCGTATAAAGTGTTTTTAATTAAAGCGTTTTTACCAGACAGGAATTTACTGGCATGAAATACAATATTTAATGTCTGGTACCAAAGGGCATCACCTCATATTAATACTGGCTAACAATTGGCTACATTATGTAAACAAGAATTTAGTATTTCGAAATATGGAAACGAGTTCCCAGAAAATGACAGCGCATATTATTATAATCGATGTGGATCGATAAGGCCTGCATGTCATTACAATTTGGTTCAAATTTGTCACAAAATTATACGTGTTTAAAGCAACAAACTCACTTCTTTTTTGAATTCTTTTTTGAAGCGTCTTCGCAGACTGGTATATTTGTTTACGCAAGATTTAATCTTCAATGTGCCGCGATGGGTTTTCGTATTGTTTAGCCTAGAGGGTCCTCGCTACGGCACATGCGCAGAACAGACTTGACCTCATCTTTAAAGTTAAACAGATTCATGAGCTTAACCTCCTGACCAGTACTCTAGGTGCGGAGGCTTTCTGGTGTAAGGCGAGTTTCACAGGCATACTGTTAAGCCAAAATATTTTTCTATAATCTGTTAAGCCAAAATATTTTAAATTATGTAAAGTGATTATTCATAATAATTTTTTTTTCGCTCAACACAATTTTTTTTAAATTGTCAAGATAATTGAGTGTACTAAAGTCTGGTCACCCATATGGTCGTATAATGGTCGTAAAAACAGAGTCACGATCTTTCTCAACGAACAGTTTATGTACTGTTTAACAAAAAGGAACAGGAGTGTTTTATTAGGGCCAGCGCGCAGCGCGAGTGGCTTTAGACCTAATAAAACACGACCTGCGAGTTTATTAAACGGCTTCAAACACGACTACAAAATATACTGCCTTATTAGTATTCTATATATAAAGAATACTAATGAGGACACGACCACAATAGATGCTGCCTTATTAGTATTCTTTATATAAAGAATACTAATTAGGAGTGTTTTATCAGGTTAAAGCCACTGCACGTGACATATTATGGTTGACATGATTTGCCAATAAGCTTATGAATTATTAAGTGTTTGAAATTGCTTTGTATACCTGTAAACCACATATAAATCATAATTTTTCTCTAGTTATAATCACTCCATGTATTTTCCGTTCTAAAATGTTGTATTTTGGCTGATGAGAATGATTATGACTCGATCTTTACGACCGTTACGACCATATGGAAACCAGGCTTTAGAGAAATCATTCTATGAAATAAAATTTGGGAGTTACCGATGTCGTTTACGAGTTAAATTATCTTAAAGCCAAAATATCTGTCATCTTGAAACGTCAGATACGTTCAGACACAAACCACGGCAGGTTTATAATAGTCCCGAATATGAACATTTAAACGCATTTGGATTGACCACAAAGCGTGATTTCAGTCGAAGCGTCAGAGGAGGAGAAAACTCTGTCTGCAGAATTTTTATTTTAAATTATGCAAATTAGAGGACTGGGGCCTTTAGAAACTAAAGATTTCAAAATTTCAAAGTCAATTTATTGAATTTTGAAATTCCACCGGATGTCCCCAAGAAAGTTACGTCGATTGATTCAATGTAAGGTAAAAACAAGAACAGCTATTATATGCATTTAAGTTAGCCTTTCCTAAATACAATAGTATAGCTAGTACTCATGATCATTTGAGTGTAATAGCTATTCTAGTTTTCACGTTTCGATAAATCAAACAGCGCGTAACTTTTTTGGACACCCGGTACAATGGCAGTTTGATTATTTAAAACTATTACAAAGTTTCCTATAAAATTATGCTATTAACGTACGAAAAAATCGTTCGTAATTACGCAACTACGCTCAATTTTGGTACCAACCTCGCAAGCCAGGCTCTCTACTACCGCTTGCCTCCCTGACAGGCTGACACGCTCCACGTATTGGGAGGGAAGCGGAAGTAGAGAGCCTCAGAGCCTGGCTTGCAAGGTTGTTTTGGTGCGCGTATACCATTTTTATATCCGTACTCGGACGACCTACTGTATATATTTACAAAGGCCGAACACGGGTACTAGTTTTTGCCGTACCAAAAATTGAGTGTAGTGTAAACGAGGTTGCATGTATGTTACTCTACTTTAATTAACAATTATTCGCCGAAGGCGAGGTGATTATCGGTGAATAAAAACCGAGACGAAGTCGAGGTTTTTATTCACGATAATCACCGAGCCTGAGGTGAATAATTGTTTTAGTAAATTTCATAGGTGATTATTTGGAAAAATATAAGAAAATACACATTTCTTCGTCATTTAATTGACAAAAAGGCTTCGGCCGCCATTTTGAAAATCGCTTAGGTGATTATCGCGTAATAATCACCTCAACGGCAACCAATCAGCGTGGAGAATTTTCAATAATCACCTATGTAATTATACTAAATTAAATTAAAGGAATATGGCAATAAAAATTATTTGTCTCATTTGATAGAACTTTTAAAATTATATATAAAACTTCAATACTGATTTTTCATATCTTGCTTAGTTCTTTAAATATATTGACTGAAAACAATGGGCTGTCCGCTATCTCGGATTTGTTTTTGATCTTATTATTGGTGGTTTTAGTAACGTCAAAAGCAGGATTAACCATATAAAACTACTCCTAAGCGAAATAACATTGCATATTTGGGTAAAATACTTTCAGAACTCTAGGCATTCAAATGGTTTATAATCACGAAAGTCAACCTCTTATCTCTACGAATTAATGAATTCAACATTGTTCACACAACAACAGCAGTGTGTAGCCATCTTTCTTCAGACATTTCTGGAAATTCTTGCCATGTATAGCGTTCAAAGTTGAAAGCTTCAACTGATACTAGCGCTCCTCCCTCACCTCCCAGTACTACAATGTTGTTTCCAATAACAACTGCAGTACATAAAAACCTCGCATAACACATTGGTGGTAGCACGTGACTATGTTCTGTTTTGACGTTGTAAATGATAACTGTATGTAATATGCTGCCATGTATGTCAACGCCGCCTATAACAACGATGTTGTCTCCCCATCTCACAGTTCCCATCTCACTCACTTCATACGGCAGTGGTGCCAACTGTTTACAATCATTCTTCTTCATATCATACAGTACGACACTGCTGAGGTTGTCTTCGTATCTGCCAGTTGTACTTCCACCAACGATCAACAAATTGTCACCGAATATTTCCATGCAGTGATTCCGCCTTGGTTCTGGCATTCTTGATAAGGACTTCACAGTATAGGGATGAATAAGCAGGACTTCGTGAATACTGTCAGATATTGCATTCAGATTATCATCATAACCACCAGTAACTATCAAGTTATCGTTAAACAGCACACTGCTATGGTATATCAACTTGGCAGGCAGTTTAATAGGACAGTCACTCCAATGCGTTGAGAGATCTGGGTTTGGGTTAATAGTCAACCTAGTCATGCTATCGACATAGCCAAACCCAGCACAATAACCCCCAGCTAGTGTCATGTGATTGTTGTAAACAAATGAAGTTGCTCCATAACGCTTCGCTGGCATGTTCTGTAATGGCGACCATGTTTTTTTACGCCAGTTAAACATCTCTACAGAGTCAGTTTCTATACCTCCAACAACGATTATGTTATCCTTATCACCACTTGCTGTATTTCTTACTTTTCTTATATTTTCTCCTTTCATATCCTCCATATTGACAAGAACATCCTTCATTTGATCAAAACCTTCAATTAAAGCCGATTTCAATCCACTGACTTCGTAATCAACTGCTACCAGTTTTCTTTCCATGTCTGTTTTTATGTCTGCGACATCCCTCTTCACGTTCGCTTCCATATTCGCCACATTTTTCTCCATATTGGCCACATTTCTCTCCAAATTCGCCATTTTCGTTTCCATTGTTATATTTATCGGCATATTCTTCTCGACATTCGTAATTTTTTTTTCCATGTCTGCCAATGTTTTTGTCATTTCTCCACATGAGTGACACTTCAACTTTCGAAATTCGCAAATTTCGCTTTCATGGTGAATAAGATCACGCTGGTTTAATAAAGCATCACCACAGCCTTGGTTTGTACAAACGGCTGGTGTAAATCCACATGTAGCCTCATGCCGGTCAAGATGTTGTAATTGTACGACTGCTTGACAACCTCTGTTCATGTAAACACAACGAATATTTAATTCATTTAAAATATCTTGTACCATTCTATTGGGTTCGGCTAGATTCTCTACGGTCAGTTCGTCGGCACACGTAGGGCATATTCGTGATTTCTCGAGGTGTTTCGTAATACAAGCACGGCAGAAACAATGTTGGTTTCTCGGACACAGGACCGGGTCTTTAAGGACATTGAGGCAAATCAAACAAAGGAAATTTCGATTGACTGTAGTCGCAAACCTCTTTTCATCATAGCCTGGTATATAAGACGCCATATATTTCACGCCTTCCTTGTTTCGTAATAGCAAAGCAAGTTCTGTGTTGATGTTGGTCGCTCTCGTATAAATCTCGCTATATAGACAGAAGATACAGTGTTCTTTCTTCGAGAAAGTCTGTGTTAGTATTTATTTGAAATCTTTAACAAAATGATCTGTTTAGAGCAACAGATAAATATTCCTTCCGCATAAAGTGTTTTTAAAGCGTTTTTACCAGACAGGAATTTACTGGCATGAAATACAATATTTAATGTCTGGTGACCAAAGGGCATCACCTCATATTAGTACTGGCTTGCAATTGGTTACAGCATGTTGACAAGAATTTCATAATTGAAAATATGTATTTGTAATATAAATCGTATTTTGTGACCGGCATTGATTTTGCTTAAAATTTCTTTGCATTTCCTTGAATGGGATGTGATTTCCTTGATTAACCGAGGATCTGCTAGCCAAGCATTCAAAAACTTCTGCTCATATATTTCATCTTTTAAGGAACAATTTTAATTTATCATGCCCACTCGCACAAGAGTGACTGATATCGTCTTCGCTCACACGCTTCACTGAATATTTTACAGGACCTTTTTTTAATAATTCGTCCGTAGGGGGCATCTACAAAAAGGGCCATACTATACTGAGTGTGGTGAGATGACAGATGGTTGTCGGTGACAAAAAGTTAATTTGGTGTGGTATCGTATATGTATTAGTCTGGGGGTGTGCTCCCCCAGAAAATTTATGTATTATGATTTATGAGTCTATGCTATCCCTGAGTCAGGATGGATTATTACGAAAAATCAGTTGTTTATATTAAAATATCGATCACAGATATTTGATTAATGTATATACGATTTAGAATACTTCTAGTTTTGAAATCAAATATTTCGTTGCAATTTTTTAAAAAATTTAATTATTTTTGGGAGGGCTGAAAGCTCTTCTGCCTTGCCCCCTCCACCTTATAAAATATTGGGTTGGGGGCCCGCAGCCCCCTTGGTTCCTACGCCGCTGCGGTCACTAACCTCCCAACAATTCAAATCTATAGGGTCTGGGATATGCAATCCACTGGAAAATGTTTAAAATCTAAGGTATTTACAACACAATGTTAGTTAACATTTTTAGAAAGACGTCGAATTTAAAGATAGACAGGACATAAGATTCACAAACCTCCGTTCACTTGATTCACTACTCACTAGAATATCAAACCTTCGTTCTAAATTCCATGTTTTGCTTATATTTTAGAGAAAAGGGACTTTGACTGGGGGGGCAAATGGTTGAATGGGGGGGTCACCGTGGAGGCTAGGGAGGGGGGGGGGGGCTTTGGCCTCCTGATTTTAGCCGACACCATGTTGTCAAAAAAGTAACACATAATTCTCAGTTGACACAACATGAGGTAGCTTGCCCATAGCCTGATTTTCCCCAATCTCGTTCCCAGAGTATGCCTGTTCGCGGGTTAGGTAGTGGCATGCCACAGATTGGATTTTCGCCAAAAAGATTCAGGTTGTGAGAGCTTGATTTCTCCAAAATTCCTTAGATTTTTCAAAATTCCTTAGATTTCTTTGATTCCTTTTTCTTCCTTGAGACTTATCAATTTGATATAAGGAAATTTCCTTCTTCAATGGATGAATCTATTATTTCTATGGAATGAACAGACAAACAGACATCCGAACCACTGTGATTCGAACGGTCGAAAAACAAATCACTGGTCAGCGGGTGAATGTCAACATCAGGTATATACTTCGTCTTGCTGCGGATATTTTGAAAGGAAAATTTCTGGAGAACTTCGAATCCAATCACTATGGCTGTAAGAATATTTCTTCGTATTATTTTATTTCCTCGTTTCATAATAATAAATATTTATAGTCTTCTTGACAATCCTACTTTTATTTTCTTTCTCTAGAGTGATCTGTTGAAAGAGTTACCGTCCTTTAATGAACAAAATTTCTCAAAATTTAAAGCAGATTCGACAATGAAATGCTCGGTATTATTATTATTATTAAAACTACAAGATTTGGAATATTTTTAGACGTTTCTTTAATGTTTAATGGATTTTCTTTGCTTTTCTATAGCATCACAGACCGATAGTTTATCTGCCAACGAAAGACACGTCTGATGAAGGTATAAAATAGCAATAAAATACATGAAAGTTGTCCGCTATATTATAATATAAATTATATATTAAGCAATTTGTCATAGGATTGTGAAAATTAAATACAATGAACTCAGTATTTGTTCACTGTAGTGACAAGGGCTCAGGCATTGGGCCATTCCATTTAATATGTGCACCCCCCCCCCCCCCCCCCCCATTGAGGGGTCTGGAAATCCTATGGGGAGGGAGGGGTTAATATTGGTAATTTCCGAGGGGGTAAATCAGTCGGTCCCTTTGATCTTCAAACAACATAGGCCAATTTCCAAGGGGGGGAATGTGTCGGCACTTTGATGTTCAATTTCCTAAGGGGGTAAAACTTTTAAGGACCCCTCAATAGGGGGGTGCACATATTAAATGGAATGGCCCATTAAGGCTTGATTTACACTATACAACTTTTACATAAAATTGTTGCATGCAACCTGGTTACAACTTGAGTTGTACTGGGCAAATCAAGCTACCTTGTCGTTGTGAGTTGTGTACTGCTTGATTCACACTGTAGTACAACTCAAGTTGTAAGCAGGTTGCATGCGACAGTTTTAGGCAAAAGATGTGTAGTGTACAACAGCCATTAGGTAGTATAAAAATGAAGTCTTGCATGGACGGTTGATGCCCAGGGTGCATTCCGTGTAAACTTCACGCCGAAGATAATCTGAGGTAGTGTTGCTGTGCGCCAAGTGAGGTCAACTTGTGCGCCGGCTGATCGTGGGCATTTCATTAATAGCGGGGTTTTTAAAAATAAAAACTTGCTAAAAAGGCGTGTAGTTGATGAATAAGATGTTTTGCTGATGAGCAATGATGAGTTTTGTTATACTGTTGTATCACAAGTTATAACCACCATTTAGTAATATTACACTGACCAGGAACACAAATTTCTCGAGTCGCTAAACTTAAAGAATTATAGAGGCCAATCCAAATACCAGGAGATTATTAATACTCAAAGTCTCGCTTATTAAACATTTGATGCTGCGCCAACCACCAAAACTCAAAACTTGTGTGCCAATGTCGATGTGATTGTGCGCCAACAATTCAAAACTCACGCCGAAGATCTTCCACAAAACGTGCATGGAATGCACTCTGGGTTGATGCATTACATGATGGCGTCCCTATATATGCCTATGCAGTCTCTTAATATTATGCCTGATGGTTTGCTGACAAACCAGATCATACTCTGACAATTTCTGCTATTTTCAATCCCTTCTTGCATTTCATATTGTTCAATCTGATATAAATCTGCAAGTTATACTGTAATAAAGCAGTGTGCATTGGTTTAACGAGTCAACTAGTAGGCACATTATTTGTCAGATTTTTTGTGTTAATCCATTGAGCAGCAGCAATCCCCTCTTGACGAGTAAAATAATCAGCTGTTTGACAGAGTATTAAGTTAGTAATAAAGCTGGGTGCATCAGGGCACAATGCAGATTAAACGGTTAACATGCTCAATTTTTTTTACAGCTGTTATCGTGACAGACAAAGCAAATATCTTACTTCGATGTCTACACCAACAGTGGGAAAATAAGGTATTAATAAATAAAACATTCTTTACAGCAGATGCTGGTTGCTTGCAAAATAACAACAGTTTGAAATGCATGTGTAGTTGTTTTCCTAATTGCCTCATTTTCATGTGACTATTTCCTCGTGTATCCTGCACAATAAGTTTCAGGATAGGTTTGTGATTGGGCTCAAGATTAAAGAGAATTTTAGCCTGCGAACAGGCTCTCAAGCTGAATTGAGAGCCTGCATCGATGACTAATGAATTTGAATATCTGCGTCTCAAATCGTGACGCGAAATTCTCATTGGTCAGATGCTATAATTTATATATTTCCGCTGAGCTCTATATGTCAACTGCTGAAAGCACTATGCATAAAAAAACACATTAACTGATCAAATTGGTCTTGGCAGTCTTATATCAAGGCACGAAATGTTCTGTTTTGAGAAAACAGTATTTAAAACATTTGAACTTTTGCTTGAATATCTTATATTTCGAAAAACAGTATAAACTGTACGGTCTAAATTTAGTTTGCACGGTCTAAATTTAGTTTGCACGAAAGTTGTAAACAACACCATATAAGGATAGACATTCCATATTTGGAAAAACGAACGTTACGGGGCAGATATTCAAATTCATTAGTCATCGATGCAGGCTCTCAATTCAGCCTGAGAGCCTGTTCGCAGGCTAAGAGAATTTTTGCACAAAACATAGGGATATATCTTTCATGTACATTTCTTTGCTATAAAACAAGCAAACATGGAAACTGCACCTTTGGAGCAAAAGTGCTTTACCTGAGTATGCTATTTAATTAGTCGCGGAAGGCGAGGTGATTAAAATACAAGCCTATATTTTATTTACTGAGCCGAAGTGAATGTAGGCTCGTATTATAATTTCAGCGTTGAAAATTAGTTTTATTTATTTATAAATACAACTAATACATGTGTTTATTTTGTCAATATAATTTGCATAAACAATTAACTTCCATCTAATTTACCTGGGAAAAGCAATATAGTTACTGCGCAGAGCAGTCTGAGCTGTAACTATTGCCTCGGAGTTATACTGATGAGGGAGAATGCTCAAAGGCCATTTTTCAATACTGACATTATACTAAAAATAATAGTTTTTCAAGTACCATTGCAACTTTTTCTCCTTGATAAGTTGATGTACAAATTGTTGTGTGTGTCTTGTAGCAACAACGAAAACGAGATTCAACACGAGCAAGCTCGCCTCCTTCAGACTACAAATCCCCCAAAATACCAAGACGTATGGATCCAGGAGAATGAAAGAGTCGAACTGTAACTTATAATTGTATTATATATTATTTCTGTGAATAAGGTGTTAAAATTTATTAAATTCAGTAAAAGTAGATTTAAGATAATCTAGCTCCTATAATTAGCGATTAGACTAACCCCTAACTTTCATCCCTAAAAGTAAATGATAGCCCCTTGACTTCTAGTTGACAAATATATTAATTTAAAAGGCTGAGTCTGATAGTCTCGAACTTGTTACACAATGGAACTTCCATGTCGACCATGTCATTATGAAAGCCAACAAACATCTGTATATTGTCTGGTTCAACATAAACGTGCAAATGTTCTCGAGGCAGATATTTTTAACTTTTATTGCACCTGTATTACATACACCCTGGAATACGCATTGCACAGGTATTTCACCACTCTTTACCAAAGACCCAAAGTACAAAAATGATCCTTGGCTATAATTTACAGAGGACAGCCATATTTAGAAAGCCTGCAACAATCTGGACTAAACTCCTTATCGGTCCGAAAACAAACACTGTGTGAAAAGCTTTTCTGTAAAATATCAACTGACAAGTGACCATAAACCCCATGCACTGCTGCCGCCAAAACACCAAGCGAAGTATAACTTAAGAGTTAAGACATAAACGCCCCTATGATCTTCCAATGACTAACACTAACCGATTTAGGAACACATTTGTACCATCCAAACTACACTGTAATAATAATTGAGTAGATTTATCTCGTTAAGTAAACATGTGTAATATTGAAAATTATATAGTATTGTAAAAATCTACCTAGTTAAGCCGGCGTGGCCGCAAAGTAGCTTTTAATAAAATATCTATATATTTATTCAATCTATCTATCTATTTGTAAACCCGGGGCGAGGGTAGTTATTATTCGACGGTCATGGCTGGGCAAAAAATCTGAAATTTTCAACAGGTCCGGGTGGGCAAAAAAATCAGAAAAACTTTCCCCACCTAGCACCTGTCGAAAAAATTTTTGCCCTTCCCGGAGGGTGGGAAAGGGTATTTTCGTGAGCCGTGAATGGTCAATATTTGTTCGCGTGAAATGTGAAATGCTTGATTTTAGTGTCGTGAAATGTGATTTGTTCTACAGCCGTGAGGCGTGATTGTTGATAAAAATGGTCCGTGAAATGAGAATTAAGGATGCCTGTTTCGCGAACTGTGATTATTATAGTGATTATTATAATAAACATAATAAACAAGATAAAACAATTTTATCTTGTATTAAATACAGAACTGGACTATCATTTTTATTGTAATTAAATATAGAACATTATATATATACATATTTGTAATAATTTTGTAATTGAGTGTTGAAAAGCCCATATGGGAACACACAAATTAATAATAATAATAATAATAAAAATAATAATAATAATAATAATAATAATGGAAACTTTATTTATTTCATAATATACCATAAAACTATATTTACATTGATAAACCTCGCTCCTAAAGGTAGTTTATCGATGACTACTTGAAAAATATTTGGATTATATAAATTTACGGAAATAGGGAATTAATAATAATAATAGTAATAATACGCGATAATCAAATTTATATGATTTTGATTGCACAAGAGTAAAACCTACAGATGTCATTTTATGACTTGAAATGTATCGAATATTAATTACACAAGCTAGAGAATAAAGGTTAAGGTGAATAAGTTACGATAGGCCTCCAACAACGCGCAAGTGGTCTAGTGGTAAAGGCGACCGGCTTGTGTGATGTGCCATTGTGTTTCAAGTCCTACTGATTCCATTTTGTGATTCAACTGAAAATGGTTGAGTTTTAATTATAAAAGCTTGAGAAAAAAATACGGTAAATAATTTACGGTAGGCTTCCAACCACGAGCAAGTGGTCTAGTGGTAAAGACAACAAATTTGTGTCATGTACCAGCTAAGGGTCAAGTCCTAAAGAAGTCATTTTGTGACCTGAAATGTGTCGTACTTACACAAGCTAGAGAAAAAAGGTTAAGGTGAATAAGTTGGCTACTCTTCCAACAACGAGCAAGTGGTCTAGTAGTAAAGACAACCGGCTTGTGTCATGTACCAGCTGTGGTTCAAGTCCTACAGTAGCCTTTTTGTGATTCAAAAATTGTTGAATTTTAATAATACAAGGTAGCGAAAACATAAGATGAATAAGTTGTGCTAGGCTCCCAACAACGAGTAAGTGGTCTAGTGGTAAAGACAACAGGCTTGTGTCATGTACCTGGTAAGGTTCAAGTCCTAATGAAGCCATTTTGTGATTCAAAAATTGTTGAATTTTAATAATACAAGCTAGAGAAAAAAAGTAAGATGAATAAGTTGGCCTAGTCTTGCAACAACGAGCAAGCGGTCTTGTGGTAAAGACAACCGGCTTGTGTCATATACCAGGTGTGGTTCAAATCCTACATCAGTCATTTTGTGACTCGTGTCGTATATTAATTACACAAGCTAGAGAAAAAAGGTTAAGGCGAATAAGTTGCGTTAGGCTTCCAACAACGAGCAAGTGATCTAGTGGTAACGACAACAGGCTTCTGTCATGTACCACCCAAGAAAAGAAAAAAAGAGATGAAAAAGTTTTTTCATCAAGTGAGAAAAATTTCCGGAGAAACTTTCCGTCGCTCCAATATTGTTTAGGTCCATTTTTTTAAGTATTTTATAAAGCGTATGCTATGTATGTGCTAAGAAGCTAGTTTTGTTGGCATGTGGAAAGCAAAAGTAGCGAAGGTAAAGAGATTAAAATTGGATTTAGTGCGTATTTTTG